AAAACTATCATTTTCTTGAGAGTTTATGCATGTTCATATATTATTTATTCTTTTATAGGAATATATGGTAACGATTAGTATACTTCTAGAGTATATTATACCCCAAACGATCTGATCGTTAGATATACTTTGTTAAACTTTGATAATTTGGCAAAATATCATCGTCGACTATTTTTGTTATTACATTAATTTTTAGACTTGGGTTTTGCAAATTGAGGCATGAGTTTTATCCATTAGAAGCTGGAGTATAGTTTCATACCCAAAATTTGATTTAATTCATGATTTAGATGGAAATATGTCGCTAGAAGTATCCCGAGTATTGTATATTACAAGAGTATAGATCTGTATATTAATATATCCAAAAGAAAAAAAATAATTGGCGTGTGCCCTTTAGAATTGAGCAGGAGGCAAGGGACAACTGTTGGCTGGCTAGCAAGGCTAGCTTTGCCAACTTCTGAACCAACATTAGCTCCCAAATCCAGATCAGTAAAACTCAAGTAAACCCTAGCATGGCTATGTGGAACTAATTGTGTCCACACAAACCTAATAATTAATCAATAATTATGGGATGGAAGTATATATATGTATCGTGCAATTTCAGTTCATGGGGAACTGATCATGATTTAGGTTCATGTATGTTAACTAAGTTTATGGTGGATTAGGGTTCAGGTTCAGGTTCATGTATATTCAAAGAGAAGATCTACAAATGCTTTGGATATGTCTTTTTTAACATGTTTATTTGTATTATTAGCAACATGCTTCCAGACATTTATTAAAGGAAAAAGAGCAAAATTTTGTAGAAAATGAAGGCAAACTAATTTGTTGTCATGATTTCTTCAATTTTGTATGTATGTTAGTGAGGCTGTTTGTTCCATGCATTTATAGTTAATTGATAAAAGAGATAAGTCGAAATTTTCGTTCTCGAATACACGTTCTCATATGGTGCTGAAGATGAGTCAGAAGGCATGTCGTCTTTTGCCTTTATTTAATACATATGTCTGAAACTAATTGGTTAGATTTTTATCTCAATTGCAACCCACACAAGAAATTGACAATTAAGAATTTGGATTGGTGGTTATATGAACAAATTCAACATGGTTGGATAATTGGAATTTGGAAGTGAATAAAGATCCAAAAATAGATTATGAAGAAGCATATATATATATATATAGTTGGGGAAAATGGAAAGGTAAAAGAAGAATCATGTGATATGTTGAAAGTTGAAAAAACAAGAAGAAGGGAAGGTGGGTGACGGTGGGAGGAAGAAAGTGAAAGTAATGGAGTAATGAATAAACTATGGTAATCCCTCACATGCTCTATACTCAAAAGCCCTAAAAAAAACTCAATAAACTACTTAGAAAAACACCATAGGAAAAGGAAAGGGACGATTGCTCGAGTGTCGTCCCTGTTATTTTGATCAATCACATTTCACCTCCAATACTATCTGAATTGGGTAGTGATGAGGTCTAAAAGAACATGGATGATGGAAATCAACATTCGAGTGTATCGACACAAAAAGTATTAGCGAGGTAGTTTATGTCTCCAAACAATCATATAGAAGTTGGTATGCTAGTGACACATGCATCACGACTATCAACAAGGCGAAAATCCTACTTGAAAAATCGACCCTAATGGGTGTAGAGGTTGTGCTCTATAACTACCATATTGGTTGTATGTATTGCCCCGATCATGATGTATACAGTAGTACTACGTATGTGTGTATTGTTGTCATGTGGATGTATCTTTAGAGTGTGATGCCCGTGGTATGGATAAGTCGCATCACGATTGATGGAAGAGTCAATCTATATAATTATATGCCTCCATAAAACCCAATTATATGAAGAAATGGTAAGAAATTCAATCTAATTAGACCTATTCTCGTCATGGTCGTCTGAGTTGGATCTCTCGTATCGTACATCCCTAAAATGAAAATGCATGGGATTATATAATGCGCACAAACTCATCATCGTATCCTGTAGAAGAGATCTCAACATTAATTCTTAAACAATAAATTCTTCTACAGATCAAACAAATTGAAATAATACATAAGTTACTTCTCACTTATAAGTTGTTTTGTAATGCTTGAATGAAACATCCAAATGATCGAATCGCTTTACATGCACACAATAGTAGAAGAATAGACGACTACCAATAAGTAGCAAGGACGGACTCATTCTCTATACCAAACTATAGGTACTTTGGAGGAACCTATTGAAAATGGATGGATTTAGATGAACTTCTCCAAACAAGTTGAGGGAATCCTAAAGTTTGCAAGTCCCTATCCAACTCCAAGAATCCACCCACCAATTATTAAATTAGGATGAAATATTATATTAATATTGTGGACAAAAGTTATATCTTCCACTTTCTCTCATTTATTCCTGGAATAAATAAATACATATTAATCATCAGAATTCATTTTTTAAAAAGGATAAAATATCAAATTGTTGAGAGGATAAGTCATAAGTTACAGATATTTGCACCCAACTCCTTTTCACCTTCTTTTTTTTTGTTAGATGGAGCATAGTGCCAAACACTTCTTTCGACAAATCGAGAGAGAAGTGACACCTAATGCACAGATTGATCCCAAAGTAATGCATCGCCATCACCAAAGAAGAAGTAGAGGGTAACACCCTGTTTGGGAAAGGGGTGAAAGTTTGAAAAGGAAAGATAATGAAATTAAAAGGGAGAGGAGAACAGAAGGCTGAAAGGGAAATCATCCACATCTCCTTAATACAGCAAGCCAGGGATAAGAAAAGTCAATTAAACCTAAGATATATATATAATCAATAGTATCGGAGTTGAGGTGGTTGATATATGCTAGACTCGGTTGGAAAACATCTTAAGTTTTGAGTTAGTGATAATTTCGTTTATGAGGAAATATAACTTCATTGGTTAGTAATTGCTCCGACTGTAAAAGAGAAAGTAATGCTGTAACGAAAGTAACGCTAGAAATATCCAACCAGTTTGTGTCGCGTGGTGGACATGCTAACCATCTCAACCTGACGACCCCAACTTATCATGCATGGTGTGGAGTGACGACACGTCGACCTGACTTCACCAACCAACCTGACAGAGCGATATCTGTCCATTAAACTATCTCATTCAATGCTTTCTTGTCAAATTTTTCTTTCATCTTCTTACCTTTTGTTTACCATCTCGACCTGACAACCCCAACTTAACTAATATGCATGGTGTCAACACGTCGACCTGACTTCAACAACCAATCTGACAGGTGATATCCGTCTAATTAAAGTATCAAAATCAATGCTCATTGTCGTATCTTTCCTCTGCGAAATGAAACTCAGACATATTAACCAACCCCTTTTTTTTATCTTTTTACTATTTCAACCTTTTTCTCATTGGTCATGTACAAAATAGAATGGCTTGAAGGGAGACAAAGAGATCTAGAAAAAGAACTAGATTAGATAGGAGTAGCTAAACACCAATAGAGATCCCATTCCAGAGCTCTCTCTAGCAGCCGTCTTTGAATATTTCTTCACTTCTCAGCCTCCCCAATTATTAAAAAGCTATTGAGTAGAACACTGAAAACGAAGTTAAGAAAAGAATAAAGATGGCTTGGTCAACTTCACATCTCCTATACTCGTGCAAAATTATGATGTGCTTTGTGGCTGAAGAAACTGAAATTGCTGCCCAAGGAAACTCATATAGCTCATCAATAAACCATTCCTTGAAATCTCAATTGAGTGCAATTGACAATAACACGTTAGAATATTGCAACTCTTAACATCTGCAGGCTTCGGTGGTTGATGCAACATTTTGACAAAAAAAAAAAAAAAAGAATACGAAACTGACACAATATATGAATCAGTGGATGTCTACGTGTGTTTCAACCAACGAGGCAAGATCAACTGGTGGTGAGGCACAAAGTCCGGGGGGTTTGTTCAACGTCTTACCCCAACCCCTCGATACTACCCTGCGCCCCTCCCTCCGAGTGGACCACTACTTTGTTAGATTCCCGAGTTACTTCGATCTTAATGAGTTTGTCAACCTCTATGTACTACCCCTGCCAACGACGTCCCATAGCACACACTTGAGCGATCAGATTCGATTGGGGTTTCGCTTTATCTGACTCGCGGTGAATGAATCATGATCCGCATGGAAAGCAATGCTCTGCCCTCGAGCTATGATTGATGATGAAAACACACTACTTCGAGTCCTCAAATCGATACAAAGTGTGTGAGAAAACACAATTATAAGATCAAATATGGACTACCCAAATGAGTCAAGAAAGGATGTAGAGAAAATGTAGATGAACTACCCACAAAGTGTATTTATTGTATAGATCGTAGAAAGGAAGGCTCACATGGGATGTGGGTGTTAGGGTTACGACAAAGTCTTCTTGACAAATGGCGGGAACAAGACAACACTTGGAACAAGGCACAACATGGACCATTCTCCTCCTCAATTTCTTACATTACCGGACAAAATGGTCATTTAATACATAAAATCATCACAACCCAACAAAATGTAAAACAAAAAAAAAAATACAGAAAACAACCAAACCCATTAAAAAAGGGTAACTTATGGTTGCAGAGCAGACAGTAAAAAACCCATAAAAATAACATAAGTTACAATCCAAGTAAGAAAAGGACTTATTTATTTCACACTCTGGAATTACTGTGTTCATTAGGTTCATATTTGATTCTTATTATTATTATATGATATAGAATATATAATCAGAGACACACAAGCTCCAAGGGTAAAAAAAACTCAAACGGGGGAGAATCACCAACATTTTAACCTTTTTTATTTATCTCCTCCCCCACGTCTAATTTTTGTTCACCCTCTCCCCCATTGCTTGCTGCTGTGCTGTGTGGCCATTTCCCCTAAATTTCTAGGCCCTAATGGTAAAAAAAAAAAAAGACACAAAAGAACTTACTGACTGACATCACAAAACACTGAACTATATAGTAAAAAAACCCAGAAGAACAAAATGTACTTCTCCTCCATCCTCCTCCCCCTTTGCTTGAGATTCTTTACTGGAACCAGATCGACGAGACGTTCTGCTGTTGCGGCAGCTGATGATTGTCCACTCCCAGCCCTTGTAGATCGATGTCGAATGGCGAAGCAAACATCAGGTTGAAGTTGTTGTTGTTGCTGCTGCTGTTGTTGATGTTGTGGTTGTTGCTGCTGAGGCCCATGTTGGTGGACTGGATTTGATCGAAGCTGGTTGGGTTGGTGTCGAATGGAGAGCTGACCGGCTTGAACCGGTCGAGGAACTGGCTGCTGGTCTCCTGTGTGAAGATGGATTGCTGATTGCTGTTGTTGTTGATGCTGCTGATGTTGTTGTTTTGGAAGTTGGAATCGACGAACATGTTCTGGTGGAAGTAATTCTCAGCAGGCTGATGATGGATTTTCTGCTGGTGCTGCTGGTGCTGGAACAGACCGTTGATGGTAACGACACTGTTTGCCGAGCTAGTGGTGGGGGTGGTTCTGCTGCAGCTGCTGGTCTGAGTGCCGCTGGTATCGTAGTTCGACATCATGTCGCTGATCAGCTTCTGCCCGTCTTCAGGAACCCCGGTCAGATCGATTGGGGCTGCTGCAGTAGACACCGAGGTCACAGCAGGAGACAGGATTGGTTTGGCTTTCTGCTGTTGAGGGAAGATCACCGGCTTGACATCGTCGATATGGAAGTTCGAGCTGGTGTAACCGAGCTTGTAAGGGCAGGCCAGCTGATGGTTGTCCCTGGAGATCCGATCACAGAACCCTAGTCTCATCTGGCTGTAAGGACACTGCACGAATTCACAAGTGTACAGCTTCTGGTCCATCATCATGTTACCACCAATCTCGCCACCTGCAGGTTGCTTCCTCTTCAAGATACTGCTGCCAGTCATAACCTCGCCCTTGATCCCCGCGAAACCCCCAAATCCAGCCAACCCTTGAGGCTTGATCTCGCGAACATCGAAGCTCGACTCATCGTCCCCGCCTTCCACATCATACTCATTGCAGTCATTGATCACCAGGGAACCACTCCCTCCACCACCGTTGGAGGACAAGGGCGGGCAGAAGTCCGGATAGAGCTCCCGAGCCAGCTTCTCCTCCTCGTTGATGATGGCGAGCCACGTGGCGCTCTCCTTCGCCGTCATCTTGTCCTGCAGGCACTTGGACTGTCGGACCAGCTTCCTGATCTTGTTGATGTCAGGGGACATGTGCTTGATCACAGCGGTCAAAACCCCGACCTTCCACGCCTTCTTCAAATCATGAGGCTTCTTGTACGGCGGGGTCGAGCCTTGCTCTTTAGGAAGCCCCAACTGCGGCCACCATTCCTCGTTGCCGCTCGGCCACCACGGCGGCGGGACGCCCTTCTCGAGTGGGAACCGCCGCTGCGGCGGATCGCAGTGTTGCATCAGGGCAGAGAGCAAGGAACCCAGAGTGGTGTCCTGAAGCTCCTGCAGAGTGTGGGGAGTAGGCCCCATGGAATTCGAACCGTCATTTCTTCCGGGAACCGAATTGTCGGCCTGGTACTTGGCGATTGCGGCCGGGCCGTTTCGGTCGAACCGGACTTTGTCCTTCCACCATTCCCTCAGATTGTCCGAAGCTCCGGTCACCGGCTTGCCCTTCTCCGGGATGATTCCGTAGACGAAACCCTGGGCCTTGCAGACCTCCATCATCTTCAGCATGTATTTCAGGATCCCGTCTTGAGCTCGGGACATTTTTTTCCGGCGAGCTTGCTCCTGGGACTGCCGCTGCTTGGCCACGTCGATTCCTTCCTTGGTCTTGCTCTGTTCTTTCAGCTTCTTCAGGCGCATCTTGTCCCTCCACATGCGGCGCTCCAGCTCGTCCACGTCGATCTCATCCTCGTCGCTGTAGTCGTCGTCCGCGTTCGGATCTGTGTCGATTTGTGGGGCGACCAGATCTTCAGCGGCGGCGGCGGCGGCGCCGCCCATGTAAGGCGCGGAGGAGAAAAATTCCATGTCGCTGCAGAATCCCAAGTCCTCAATGGTCATCATCTTGTTCTTTCCAATCAGCTGATTAATTCTTCTTCAAACTGAAATTCACGAGAAACCCATCACAAACAAGTCAATTATTGACTGATTATTATAGCTAGATCCATAAAAGGAACTAATTGAGCCACAGATCGAAGCAAAACACAGAGTTTATGGAAAGGAAGGTTCATATCAAATTGAATGAAATCTCAAAACGTAAGGCAGCAAGAAGGACGAAATCCAGAACAAAGCAAGAAGATCAATGGATCTACAGAACCCAATTGAAATTTCCTCCACAAAACAACGAACTAATCCATACAATTCAAAGTCAAAGCAACAAAAACAGAGATTAAATAAACAATCTACAAGAAGAAAGTAGCTGATCAGAGGAACAGAGAAGAAGCAGAGAGACGGAAAAGCCAAAAAGGATCATACCAGAGAGAGAAGAGGTAGGCAGGTCCACGACTATTCTTCCTTTCGGTAACTCAGTTTTTCTTCAGCCGTCAAACACAGAAACGAAAGGGGGGATGGATACGAAATGAAAGGAAGAAGAGAGGAAACAGGTGAAAAAGAAAGACAAATATAAAAACCCAGTACTAACTTATTAATAAAAACACTCCGATGAAACTTTATCTGCTCTGCTCTGTTCTTTCTATCTCCTCTCCGGGTTTTTTTTTTTGGCTGAAAGCGATGATTATGGTGGGGGTGGAAATGGATGAGAAGAAGAAAGAAAGAGAGAGATGGAGAGAAATGAAAGGGGTTATTGGGTAGTGTGGATTTGAAGAGTGGTGGTGGCGATGGCGGTGGTGGGCTTTTTGGGGAAAGGGGAGAGAGAGAAAAGAAAGGAAATTTTTTTGGGGAGGAAGAACCTTTGTAGTCGGGATGGTGGTGGTGGGGAAGAAGAAATATTAGTGCTGTAGCTGTTGCTGTTGCTGTTAATGGTGGCAAAATAAAACAAAAAACAAAAGCCTCAAACTTTCAAGCAATTAAAATAATGGGCAAGCAAAAGCCAGCCTACCCAAAAAGCCAGGGGGAAATCACTGCAACAGCAACCCAAAAACTATATTTTTTTTCCTTTATAAAAACAGAGCATCCATGGAAGGAAGGAAGGAGAGAGGAAGAAGAAGAAAGGCGAGGTAAGGTAAAACGGATGAATAATCCAAACCAAACCCAATATGCAAAAATGAAATATGAAAAGAAAAGGTGAAAGCTTTTTGGATTTTGGAGGGATGGGATAAGCTGTTTCTATCTCACTTCCATGGCGGCCCTCAGGGTTTTATATTGGGGATGGTGACGACAGAAATGGACAGTCTGAGGAAGGAAGACGATAAGCTCCAAAACGAGTTTTGGTAAAAATATGAAATTGAAAAAAAGGGGCTTATTATGGGGGGTTTATTAATGTTGTCATTAAGGCTAAAACGAGAAGGGTAATGAATGAGGATGGGAAATTGGCCGTGTGTGGAGGTTTCCTTTCCTTTCATTTGCTGCAACATTAATTTTGTTCCCACTAGTATTTGGATAAACAAATCTCCGTGTGATATGGTTTGGTTTTTCTCAAATTTCGTTGCCATATTTATGGATTTGGTGTGAGAATTGTTATTAGTATGTTTCCTTTTGCGGGTTTTTGAAGTATCATCATAGTCAAGTGGTTGTACGATTTTCGTTTGATCGACGTTTCATAGCAATACGAGCATATCGATAAAGAAAAGTAGAACTATCGATGTTACTACCATTTGGGTTAAATAATTATGAGTGTGGATTGTTTTATGAACGTACGATGTTGTTATGTTATGTTCGTAGCGAGTTAATTAGTATCGAGACACTTGTTATCTTTAGTTTCCTTTTGTTTTATATATTAGGAGGTGTTCGAGTACAATAGTTGAATATTTGTGAGTTTATGTGGCTTAGAGTTAGCGCTTCATGTATTTGGGAATGGTAATAACGAGGGTGATCGATGAAAACAAAGAAAACGGTAAGCGTTATTGGGGAAAAACTTAGGGCTTGTTCCCACTATTATTTTGGCAAGCAATTACGTACGGGGATACTTGTTATGTTTTATTTTTCTATTTGTGTTAGATGTTTATCGGATGTTCAACCAAAATAGTGAAATGTTTGTGATTTTTTGCGGCTTGGGGTCGATACCTCATACAATTTGGAAAGGAATAATGAGATGATCGACGAAATCAAAGAAAGTAGCCAGTGTAATCGGCGAAAAGAAACTTAGGGTTTGTTTAGGGTCAATTATTTTTGGTGAGCAAGTACTATATAAAATCGTTTCTACAATGTCTATAGAGGATTAATTTCGCATCAAGATTCTTATTTACAACTTGTTTTCGTGAGTGTTTTGTTAGCATCCGAGTATTGTAAATCAGGGGTTCACATGAGTTCATGTGCTTTAGTTCACACTTCGTAACTTCAAAAGATGGTAATAGTGATAAGATCGATGAAAACAAAGTAAACGATGAATTAGTAATAAGTTTCTAATTTTGTTTTCATTATCACAGTACATTAAGTTGTATGCATATTGGTTACATATACCGATCCATATTTTATCCATCATGTCAAATTAACTAGTCCAAGAGAAGAGGTGGTGGTTTCTGTTGTGTCAAATGTTTATTAGTGTTCAAGTAACTATATGGAAATGTTGTACGAATTCATATGGTTTTGAGCTAACACTTCAATAACGAGATGATCGATAAAACAAAGAAAGCATCAACACTATTACAAACCATAAGGTGATTTTTTATCATGATTTTATGTATACTAGTTTGTAAAAGATTAATATTGTCTTCATACTATAATAGCGAATTAATTGATGTTGAGTGTTGACATCCTATTTTTCCATTTTCTTTTTGTGTTTGATGTTTATTGAGTGTTCAATGATCATAATTGAATGTTTTGAAGAGTTGACGCGGCTTCGAGTTAATACTTCATACCATCATAAACATCAATAGCAAAATGATTGATTTAAAACACGGTAAACGTTAATGGGGAAAAAAAAACTCAGAGTGGAGATTAATTTTGTTCCCGCTACAATTTGGTATATGTATTTGTGTATCATAATGCATTAATGCATTAATTTTAAGTAGTTTTAATAACCTATGGTCCAAATTAAATTAAATTCCAGGCATGCGAATATACATTGAAAACGTTGAAGAGTGTTTTCGCCGTGTTCCGTGGATGATGGGTAAGCCAACATCATTACACACGTCCTTTTGTAGTAACCTAAAAGCAGGTTGGAACTTGTATACCCTGTTTACTAACCATTCCCATTCCCATTTTGTCATTCCATTTAATTTATTTAGAAATGAAAACAGAAAAAAGTGTTTACTTTCCATTCCCATTCCATGAGCTTTTATTTGGGGAATCAAATAGTGCTGAACAGTAGCAACTTTTGGGAAACACAATATTTTGGTTTCAGGAATGGGAAACGGACGGATTTCTCTCTTCTTTCTCATTAATGAGACCCATGTATCGAATCCCCCAACCACCCAAAAATCAATTTATTACCTCTTCTACCATTTGACAGACAAATCAATGAATCATCCCAAAAACCCCCAAACCCTATTATCCCAAACCCAACCCTTTCCCCTTCTTCTCATCTGCTGCCCGCCGCCTCACTTCTCCTCCACTCTCCCCTGCCTCTTATCTCCTCCACTCTCCCCTGCCTTGCTTCCGTTGCCGCCGAGGACTCCCCTGCCGCCGCCAGCCCGGACTCCCCTGATCGTCGTCGACCCGCCGAGGCCTCCCCTGCTCGGCGTCTGCCCTCGTTGCAGTCAACCCCCGCTCGCCGTCGACCCGGCCTTCAACCCCCGCTCGCCGTCGACCCGGCCTTCCCCGCTCGCCGTCAGCCCTCGTTGCAGTCAACCCCCGCTCGCCGTCGACCCGGCCTTCCCCGCTCGCCGTCAGCCCTCGTTGCAGTCAACCCCCGCTCGCCGTCGACCCGGCCTTCCCCACTGCGCCTGGTGAGCAATCTTTTGAAATCTCTGCTTACTTTTGAACAGAGAGTTGATTAGATTAATAAATAGTTGATTAGATTAAATAGGATTGGCAGACTAGAATTGAACAGAGAGTTGATTTCTTCTTCCTTTTGCCCACCCACATGCGATCCCTTCTTCTTTTGAAAAATCACAGCACATCTTTTAATTAATATATATGTGAACCCCTAATTAACCCATGCATGACCTCTTCACAGCCGAATCTTTGTTGGTGTGTTGGTGATTGATTGCTTATTATTGTTGTATATCTAATATGACCGACTTGTGTAACTAGTTCTTATCATGGACAATAATGAGGCTCAAAACAAGAATGATTATGTAATGGCGGGAGGAAAGGAAGTATGGCCTAATGAGGTCAAGTTCTATCTTATTGATTTGATGGTGGAAGAAGTGAAGAATGGAAATAGAACTACCACTACTTTTTCAAAGGTAGGCTGGGCAAACATAATAAATGGATTGACAAACAAGTTTAGGAAGGTTTGGAATGAAGATCAGTTAAAGAACAAGTTTAATCAGATGAGGAGAAAGCATAGGGTTTTCACGACAATCATTAGTGAGACTGGAGTTAGTTACACTACGGCAACTGGGAAGATTGATGGCTCTGATGAACGTTGGGAAAGATGGTTAAGGGTAATTGAATCCTTGTCTATTGTGAAATTTTGTATGTTTATTATTTAAAACTTTGAATTGATTCAAATATTTTTTTTTGTAGTTGGATAAGGTGGTTGGAAGCATTAAGAAGTATGGTTGTCCGGAGTATCCAAAACTTTGCATTGTCTATGGGGATACTACCGCTACTGGAAATGATGCACTACCTTCTACACAGGAGATTATAGACAGCAGTAGTGAGGATCAGAGCAAGGAGAAAGTTTCTGAAAGTATTATGGATAAGACAACTGAACTTGCAAAGGAATTGAAAGGCAAAGCAAAGTCTAAAGGGAAAAAGAGAAAAGCAGCTAGATCAACCTTCTCTTCTACCATAGAGAAGGCAATAGTTGACATGGCTGAGATGGCAAAAATGAAGAATGAGATGCGTATGGCTTCTCAAGCCAACTCTTCTATTAGAGGTCCAGTGAATGAAGTAACTTCACCGGATAAGGATTTAGATATCATGACTGAATGCATGAAGGTTTTGGATGATTTGGATGTGGATGCTGATATTTTTGTGAAGGCTTTAGATATTTTACATGACCAGCCATTAAAAAGAGGGCTTTTCTTACGCATGACGGAGAAGAGAAGGATGGAGTGGTTAGGAAGTTTGGTTTGATGTTTGCTGAGTTTGCTTGAAAAGAGGGTTCACTTGATGATGATGTGTTTTAGAGTTCAAGTTTTAGTATTTGTGTTTGCTGTATGTTGTATGGAGCTTTGTTTATTTCATGGATCTATTGCCATTTTATGGTTACGAAACAGGGTTATGTGAGCTTGTTTTTGGATTAAGTTTTTTTAAGTGTTTGTTTGATCAAGTATTATGTATTTGAAGTTTGTTTGTGCATTTTCTGATTCGAATATATTATCTATGCAGAAACGGAATGGCAACTTCTGATACAGATTCTGATGATGAGATGCATAGAAATTTGATAATATATTTGGCACTGTTGGAGAATGAGAGATTGAATTTGCCTAAAGAACCATGCAGAAACTCAAAATTACCAGGACATCAATGGGTTCAAGAACTTTTGCGTGGTCATCCGATTAGGATATATGAAGAACTACGAACTGATAAGGAAACATTTATTGCTTTATGCGATGAATTGAAACAACAAGGATTGCTGGAATCTACCAAGAGAGTCATTGTTGAAGAACAAGTGGCAATCTTCCTACGAACTTTAGGTCATGCCATTGACTTTCGAGATGGTGCTGAAAGGTTTCAGCACTCTACAGCTACCATCTCTAAGTACTTCGGTAAAGTATTGAAAGCAGTTGTGAAGCTTTCCAACAAGTACATTGTTCCCCCAAATTTCGATAAAGTTCCTGAAAAAATAGTTGGTTCAAAATATGATCCATATTTTGAGGTAAATTAAGTTACTTGCCTTTATAGTTGGTTCAAAAATTTTATAACATGTTCATCTAACATTTTCTATTTTGTAACTTAGAGTTGCATTGGGGCAATAGATGGAGTGCATATTGATGCAACTATTCCGACCGGCGAGCAAATACCATTCCGAGGGCGAAAGACAACAACTACTCAGAATGTGATGGCTGCATGTTCTTTTGACATGCTTTTCACCTATGTAATGGCAGGGTGGGAGGGCACGACAAATGATTCTAGGGTTCTTGCTGAAACAGTTTCTAATCCAGGGAATAAATTTCCAATGCCGCCGCGAGGTATGTAATCAATAATTTTTTATGTTTATATAGATCGCAAATTTAGTGGATAACTAATTAACTTCTAAAAAATTTTCAGGTAAATATTATGTTGTTGATTCTGGATATTCAAACATGCCTGGATTTTTAGCACCCTACCGGACAAGAGAATCTACTCATTTTCAAGAGATTAACCGTGCAGGTGGCCCAAAAAATCGTAAACAATTGTTTAACTTTTATCATTCGTCCCTACGCAACGTTATTGAGCGTTGTTTTGGAGTTTTGAAAGCTAGGTTTCCAATTCTAAAACATATGCCTAACTTTCCATTCAAGAAGCAAGCGCAAATTGTTATAGCTACTTGTGTGCTACATAACTTTATCAAGATCCACTGTGATGAAGACGTCTTATTTGACGAATACCAACAGTGTGATGTAGAAGTCCAGGGAGTACAACAAACTGAAGTGTATGATGTCAGTTCAACTCAAACTCGGGCAATGGAAATTCGACGTGATGAAATAGCAGACAAGTTGTGGAATGACTTTCAAGCAGGAGTTATTTGATGTTTTCACTTATTTGTATTTGTTGATGTAGTAGTATTTTGTTTATTTGTTTAAAACAAGATTGCTATTGAAAACAAAAATCAGTTTGTAATAACTGTATCTGAACAAGTTTCCATTTCCAGGTTTCAGTTTCAGAACTCTCTAAATTCTCAGCTAAACAAGTTTTCTTCAGGTTTTGTTTTCCAGAAAATGACAGATTCCTTTTCTTCGGATTCCCTTTTCTGTTTTCCAGAAATCAAAAAACAGAATGATTACTAAACGGGGCAGTAGTAACTTAAAATGGAAAACCTAACTTTGGGTAGTAAACTGATTGGTTGAACCGGTGGTTGAGATTGGTTTGTCTGTCATTTTTATTTATATTCATTTTTATCCAAGGTGATTTAATTTATAACCGTTACTGAAAAGCAAAAATACTTAGTCGATATGACTAGGGGTTAGAATATGATTTTGGAATGTCAGCAGATCGAGTTCGAATTGTTAGCGGACAATATGAAGTTTTCGGTACTGACTGTGAGGAGAAGGGGAAGTACACCCTGTGACATCGCCGAAGTTGACTTGGTACTCCGAATGTATTTTTTCCCCCCTTTGCATGTTACTAAAAGAGGGTCTCAGAGGGGAAGGAAAAGTCGACCTTGTAACCAGTGAAGGGACGGTTTACCGCTAACCAAACTCTTGTTTACAAAGATAAATAGTAATTTCTGTGTTCCGAATATCAGAACCGGTCTCTTGAACCGTGATCTTCTGGCTCGAGTCCTGGCAGGCTGAACTTCAGGTTTACTATTGAAACCTGAAAACCTGGCGAATGTCTAGCTAGGGGGAGGCACCTGTCTTCCTTCCTCTTGATCCTCTTAACGGATTTAGAAATGACAGATATTTCACGGGGAAAGTAATTGGAGATAGTTAGCACAAATGAGGGAATGACGTCCTGAAATGGATCACCTATGGGCCATTGGTCCATTTTTCCGGCTCAAGATAGGGTGCATAACCATGGGTTATGCACCCATCAATAACCAAATCTGGACCCTTCATTTAAAAAATCCAGATCTAAAGATGGAGAATTAAAGGTCATTTTTATTTTCACTAGCTTTCTTAATTGACTAATATCTTTTTCGTTTTAACTCGGATTTTAATTTTTTTTGCACAGATGGAACGAGTTCATCGTGCTCTACAAAATGAGATCAATTTTCAATATTTTTTGAGGGAAAAAAAATTTTGGCCTCTCGGTACCAACTGCATACCATATGGTATCTTCTTCGTTTTTCATTCGTTTTTTAAAACGTTTGCACAGTAGGGACGAGTTCATCATGATCTATTGGATCTACAAATTTCTGGGTGAACAAATTACAAGACCAAAAAATACCACCAAATACCATACAATACCACCCTGGTACGGGGTGGTATTTTATGGTATCTTATGGTATACAATGTTAAAAGTCGTAAATGACAATTAATATACTTCTACTATCATGTATTCAATCATCCTACAGTCTTGGTTTGTTCATACCACCATGGTACGCTTTTCAAACCATAGGTATGCTCTTATTTCAATACCAGTCAATACCATATGGTATAGACTGGTAAAAATGGCTCAATTTTTTTTTGTTCAAAAAATATATCAAAGTGGATATCATTTTGAAGAGCACAATTAATCTGATCTAACTGTGCAAAAAAAATTAAATTTTGACTTAAAACGAGTGAGAAATCGTCCGTCAAAGATTAAGGAGGGAAAAATTAAAGGCTTTCCAGGAGAGAGAGGATGCTGATGGGGGCGGGTTACTCATAGTTACTCACCACAAGGTTACTGACCTGATCCATTCCCATTTTTCCGATGAACGAGTGACGTTTTCCTACCCAGAAATGGATTCTATCACATAACCTTCCAGCAAGACGCTTTATACCAGGGACCTCTCGATCCATCGAAATAACGCAAATTCCTGACGAATGAACAATCTCAATCATCGCAGATTCATTCGCCTCTTTTCGCTCATTTGATGTTTGATTGTAAGGCACGAATTCCCATCTGCATGGCGGCAAACAGGAAAATTCACATCAGTGGGCCTGGTTTCCAACCTGTTCTTGAGTCATAACCGGCCAGCTCTCGGGGCAGACCGGTTCTTTTCTCTACGGAGAGGACTGCAATGAATGTTCAGCATCAGCAGTACAAAGTTCCATAACTGATAAAGAAAGCTTCCTGCTTTGAATCTCTAGTCTTTGAATAGGGAAAGTAATTGAAGGGTTAAAAATTGGAGCTCCTCTGGTTTCTAACAAAAGGGGAGAGAAAAAGCTCATTCCTTCTGATGGGAGAACTTGATCAGGTGGGAGGGCAGAGTTTTTCACCTCCTCCATCTTCAGTCGAACATATTGGGAAGTGGTCTCACAGCCATGAAAGCATCCACCATCTGGAAACAGAAATGTGATATGGGCAATCAAACAAAAAAGTTGAAACCAAGTTTTAGGGGCTAGGACTAGGAGGATAGTTGGGGGGGAGTGTGGAACTTACTTCTTCTGTGACAGCAGCTCGTGCTGCACGATGTCTATCTACCACCTCTGTCAGAACATCAGCAAGCCGCTTCTTCACCTCGCCAGTCAACATCCGTCCAGCGCCATATTCCTGGGCAGTAGATGCAGTAAGGAAACATGATTTCATGTTCAAGATGGAGAAACTGGTAGGTTGTGCTGAATCGAAAGGGGAAGAGGTCTTACTGTCTTAATGTGCTCCAGCTCGGCATCATCTTCCAAGAAGAAACTCAGGTACTTTACTGGTATGTCCACCTGAAAGTTTGAGGACCAAACTATTATTAGTCATTGCTTAAGAGATTGTTGTTCGAGCAAAGACTAGTTTGATGTTTGAAATCGGTTCTAGAGTTATTTATATATGTAATAACCAAGATAGAGTACCTCAAGATTTGCACCAAGTTCTCTGTGCTTCTCTACGGAATCTTGCCCACCAGAAAATGCATACTTATTGATCTGTCACCATCAACATATAATCATAGGTTACCATTACCTTCATATCACACAAAGACGAAAAATATGAAACAGAATCATAGGCGGCCATTAGTTTCGTATCAAACAGAGCAGCAGCAAACATAAATTATAATTTAGTAAGTTTATTATTCATTGGGCATACGAATTCGGTTACTGTAAGAATACCAGGTATATTAGCAAACCAGGTAACTAAACTGAAAAACGAATCTTCTACCAAAAGAAGAAATCTCACAACTGGTAGAAGATAGACTTAGCTGCATATGTTGGAAGAAGGGAAAAAAGAATGATATGCAGAATCCATAATCATACCTTGTTTTTAATGACCTTGGCCGAATCTGTCACATATATAGCAGAATTTGGATCACTGGCAGACATTTTTCCTGTTTCACCCTACACATCATATTTACAATCAACAATGCTGATTGTTAGTAATGCCAAAGAAGACACCAAAATTATATAGAAACACATAAAATCCATAAAAGAACTATGTACATGCCAAGAAACTGATTGAGCTGGCTGAAGTATATTATTCGAGGTCTGGTGGCAAATTTCTTGCAATGAAATCAAACAAGGTTACAGCAGGGGGGATATGAGTCACAACAACACCTTGATGGTATAATTATTTCCCCCCCAAAATAAGAGGGTCGTTATATGTTTGAACACCAAGTTACCTGCAGGGCTGGGAAAAAAGACGACTCAATAAGAGAAGGTTTATGATATCCTAGCCTTGGTGCAACATCTCGGGTCATTCTGAAATATGGATCCTGTAATATTTAACAAGAGAGTGAAAGAGTTAAGAGGATAGAAACGGTTATAAAAAGATGACCCTGCATGGTTTTAGTTTCTTCTTATTTAACCAATTGCACTTTTCTAGACCAAACGCCAACAGAAAATGCAACGAAATAGGGCCTGACCTGATCAATTGCACAAGGAATCAAGCAACGGAGATCATCTTTCCCAGAGAACAAGTGCGGGAATGAACTAGGAAATGATGGTGCTGCCTGTACTACAGCAAAAGTGAAGTCTGCTTATGGTGGATACAAAGAACAAGTGATCTATAATGGACACAAAGGACACAACTGGAGAACATAGACCATTAAACAGAAATCCAATTGCAATGTACATCAAGTTTATGGTGGCAATCAGTAATAAAGAACTGACCTGAATAGGTGGAAAACCAACTTTTCCAATGTGATCTTCACCACTGAAACCAAATATGCCAACAACCTGTATACCAGGGGAAATATTGATATAATTACCAAAGTAGTTATTCCACCAGAAGTATAGAGCACAGAAAAAGCCTCAAGGAAACTAACCTTATTGTATGTGACACACTTCGCAATTCTCACCATGTTCTTGTAAAAGGATCTGTTGATATGATTCTCATGTTAGATTATAGTTCAAAAGATAATGATGATACACTAATATACGTAACAGAATTCCAGAAGATCTATGTCCATACATGCTCAAACCACATCTTTGATAAAACAAAACCATCTCATAGTCATTCAACTGGTTTCTTACCCGCCAACATAATCAAAGTCTGAAAAGATGAATGTCTTTGTGATGTCAAAGCCACATGCAATAATGTCTTTGGCATTTTCACGGGCAAGTCTCTGGCACTCCTCAACTGAGAGGTTTTTCCACATGCATTTCTCATCATCAGTAAGTTGAATAACAAGTGGCACCTTGAAGGCATCTTGCAAATACCTGCAAGCATGGTGATAACAGATTAACCGATAAATCTAGTTTACGTAGAAACCTCAATCTACCTTACCAAAATAAAAAAGTCTCAATCTACAAACTTCCAGCAACATATCAGTAATGCTAGCGAATATATAAGATGAGCTCACTTGGTAAACATAAAGGGTACAAGATGACCAAGATGCAAAGCTTCAGAGGATGGGCCTCTTCCAGTATAGAGGTAGAACTTTTTCCCTTTCTCATATGCATTCAGAATCTCATCGAAATCCCTATGGGCGAAGAAAACTCCACGGCGGAGGAAGACATGAGGAGGTCTGCCAGTTAGTCGTTGGACACGGTCCACTAATGGCTCTTCAAGCCTTTGGCAACCAAATTTGTCTATAAGCTTATCATAGTCGATCTTTCCTCCATCTTTAGCTGTTACCTCCCATGGATTCACCACCTGATCCTGCTCTTCTTCATGCTTATCCTCTCCCTTCTCCATCTTCCCTACTATCACTTTGCACTCTCTCCTAAACCCTGAAGGGGAAACCACAGGAACTCGATTCAGTTCCAATGGCAAAATAATTAAGCACACATGCCTTTCCAATCACACTGCATTCAATCGCAATTTGTAAGAGCCCTAACCAAGTTATCACATCAAAGTTCAAAGCTTTCAGACTGAAGAGAGAGAGAAGGGCACTGTTGAACTACCTGGGAGAGCAGCTTGCTACAAGTAATTCAGCTGAGTGATAAAAAAGAATTTCCAAATCACCACGCTTGAATTCATTGAAGATTATCGATTTCATTCGAGTTCCAACCAATTCGATCGCATTCGAAGAGAAAAATCATAGCTTTTAATTGCATTGAGACTTTGCAGCGATGGGGAACCTTCAAACTATGGATAACAGTACTGTCTTTTTGAACTGTCAATTACCTGGAACTAGGATTCCCTTGGCCGGACTGCAGTTGCCGCCTTGCGGAAGCCACCCAACCGACAGGAGAGGCAGAGAGTCGGAGGGCTTGAGGGAGAACCGCCGCCGCCGTCGACAAGAGCCCGCAACGAAGAGGGCTTGGTCTTTGCTCTTTAGTCTTTAGGTAACCCGCGAGCAAATACCCGCGCGGAAAATGGAAAAACGGGAATAAGAACACGCTGAAACGTTTTTTTGTAGCAACCCAAAATCGAAACACGAGAAAGAAAAGGTGACTAGATATCGCAGTATTTATTATGTGGTATGTTGAGACTCCCTTCAGTCATATGTAGCCATCATCATATGACTCTGTTCGCTGCAACTTCGGAGAAAGACATGTACTTGAGTTCAATGCCGGCGGCTGTCTACATGGAGAGTTGCAGACTTGCAGATCGGCTAGGTTGTTTTGTTTGCAATCTTACACAAGGATCAATTCCCAATTTACACACTTTTACGTTTGGAGAAATGACCGACGCCGCGAGGAAAGCATGTTATACAGTTCAAGATGGTGTAGCTTAGGGTAAATGATGTTCATTTCATTACCCATCTTCTCATCATCAACGATAGCTAACGGGGTAATTAGAGTTGCGGGAGTACATCAATCTTATGCTATCGAACTAACATTGCTTGTAACTTCACTTTCCTTGTACCATAATGGTTCCCGTACACAATAGAAAGGGGGACACAGAGAGAGTCTACATCACAACAGTTTCGGAGATCATGTTACATTGTTACTGACTACAACAACTACGTGACGAGTAACGGATGGCGCCGCCAGATTAAGCCTAGTTACAGAAAGCTTTTACGCTGTAGGAGTTCCATAACAGATACCAAAATCGACTCGGCTGACTATTTTGTCCAGCCCCAACAGAGGAACCTCTGATTAGTCCCCCAACTGTATGCAACTCCTGAAGATGGCATTATCTGCATTCTTGGACAGAGAGCGGTCAAAGGGCTTAAAGAGCATCGTCTTGTGTCCTGGAAGCTGAATCATTACCGAATATGTTTCGAGTCGAAAAAATTTGAGGTTCGTTGAGACAGCTAATAAGAGATCACCACAGCCACTTCCGCCTCTCGTCTTTTTTCTCTGGTCTCTTTCTACTTCTGCTTCTATTCACCTCAGAACTATCAGCAGCGTGACTCCCCTGCAGATAGTCCCCAAAAACCAGCTTATAGATCAGCAATCCAGAAAATAAACATACACATCCCAAATTGTGGAGCAATGTAACGTAATGTAGTAATGAACTTGCTTATTTCTAATACTTTATAATGATTCCACAGAGTGCAGGGACCTTGGAGAATATAAGGTAACAGAAGTGTTTAGTTTATTCAAAAGTTTGCCTAAAACTGGCTCTAGTGTTCCTTACAGAAGGTGCTCGACTGTGAAAGGCTTGGAGAATATAGTGCAGTTGAATTTAGAAGGATCGTGATTTCTAGCAGTAGCGTTTAGTCATTCAAAAGTGAATCCGTAACTGCAATAAACTTCCACCCTGTGATTGATTCAGACCCTTTAAGAAGACAAGCCATAGACAGCTCAATTCCTTAGAGACTTCAACTTATTCAACCTAGAACTCGAGGTGGGACCAGTAGTTGTGAAAAGCTAGTTGAGATCAAACAAGATAACAATCCTTACCTTGCTCACAGAAGCCGCTTGGTTTATGTTTTTCTTTTTCAGGCATGACAGCGGGTTTGGCCCCTACAAAATTGTATGAGAAACAAATGAGCATCAAGATAATATTAACAGAAACAGAAAGCATATGTATCAATGATGTGACATGTAGTAATCGCAATCTGATGATGTCTAAAATAACATTAAGCAATCCGAAATATTATTGCTATCAGTATTATGAAAGTCACAGCTCTGCAGTTTTTTCTGAATCGCAAAAGTTGATAGTGCAAAAGCAAGATTTCACTCAACAATCCAAGTCACTTGCCCTAGCAGGGCTAAAGTTATGGACTAAACTAGTACAGCACGTATAACGTATGCTAAACAGGCAGCAGGGGAAAAGCTAAATGACTTTTTATCAGCTTTCAAGCAAGCAAGCACTGAGCTAACACAATGGGGACAGGCCACATCATATAAAGATAGCTGGATCAACAATATCGGACTCAGGGGAAACCATAAGAACTGCAGACCCGCGCAGGAGTTTATACATCCATTATCAACAACCGAACAATGATAGTGATGAAGAAAGTAAGCATGGTTTAAGGAATGAAAAGAAGGTTGCCATCCAGCTTGAGGCAAGTAAAAATGGCAGCAAATAGAGAGGCGAAACATCACCTTGGCTCTCTTTCTCTTAAATTGAGGTCTATCTTTGACATTTAATCCTTTTTTCCGGACGTCATGCTTTGGACCTTCAAGTTCATCTGCAGAAGCTACTTCTGCAGTTTCCAAGATGTGACCAGTCTCCTTTATTAAAGCCTCGCGCTCTTGATCTGACAACTTAGAGCGACGTGCTTCAGAACTTTTGGCAAACTCATGCTGAAATGTTGATGGCTGCTCAAGGAAGAGTGCATTTCTCAGACCATAAACCAGAGGGACACCTGGTACCTGGAGATTATAATAATGTACACTGAGAGCAATGTCTCCACTAAATTTCAATACCTTCAACAAAAAGTTCCAGACTTGCTAAGGGAAACTATAACACGAAGTTTCAACAAAAAAATTCACTAAGGTGAGTGTATGCATATAAAGATTGTGCCTTGCAATACAATCATACATGCCTTTCATTCTCCAAGGCGTGTGTCTAGAAACAATTTGTTTGATTTTTTAATTAAAGTTCACGTAAAGTACAACACTCTAACCTCCTGGAACTTCTTCCGCAAATCAGCATCCTGGGTAGCAACAAAGAAATGCTCTGGGTTATTTTCCCCAACTATGTCTATTAGGCAAGCTTCTGCACTCTTCTTCCCCTCGTGATCGCACCTGCAATCAAAATTGAACTCCAGTAAGCTCCTTTAGGAAATTTCTAATCACTCAAAGAGGGAGAATCACAGTTCCCACAATGTCCAAATTGTCCAATTACCTTGCAGTCATGAGCTTCTGAGCAGCCTCGAGGGATTCAGAATAAGAAGGGCCGAGCCGCTTAAGCTCCTCAACAACGCATCTGCAAATTCAGAGCTCCACAATGAATTTAAAAAAAAAACGCCTCGTCAAAATTGCATGAAAGGAAGAAATCCAATTCAGGAGCAGAAGCAAAAACCTGGAAGTGAAGAGCTTCACAGGGCCGCTGAGGACAGTGGAGATGGCCGTGTCGGCCGGAACGACGCGATTCGCGATGAGATGGTGGATGAACGTGCCGTCGCAGAAAACCTTGTACGGCTGCCGGAATCCGAAACACGCGGTGAAGAAACGCAAGGCTCGCCGGTGCCGCTTTTGCTTCTTCACCTTCATCACGCGCGACACCGATCAACTTCCGGTTGCTGCGAAAGAGGGGAAAACGGCGACGGGTAGGGCGGAATCCGCGGCGAGTTCAAGGGGTTAAGACGTCGTCTCAGGGGTTTTACAGATTAGAAAGAGGAGGGAGAGAGAGAGAGAGAGAGTAGAATTGGGCCTGGGCCCTAAATCCCCAATTCGGGCTGCCTAACATGGCCCAGAATTTTGCCAGCCTTTGGGAAAGCTCAAACTCGCGCCGGAGGGGAAAAAATCAGGCAAACACTTCGCGCCGTTTGCTTTACTCCGATTTCTCTCCAATGGCCGCCGACGGAACCAAAAGGCCTCAACCTTCAATCCTTCCGCCTCGTAAGCTCAATGTCCAGAAATTCGCCGAATCGCGAGCCTCCGAGCTCGACGCTCTTCACTCCATAGTATCGAAACGACTGAAGGAGGATTTTCGCTCGCAGAGGAACAAGCGGCGGAGGACGACCTCCTACGACAACCAAGCTGCTAAATGGAGATACAGAAAGAGGCAGAAATCTGATTCTTCCGACATTGCTGGTGTTTCCTCTGAGGATAATGAGAGAGGCAATGAAAGACGCGTCCCTCGCCGAGTTCGCCGGAGAGAGGAACTCCGGAAGAATCCCGAGCATGGTTTCATTACCTCCGGCGACAGGACCAAGAGGTTGAGGACGCATGTTTGGCTGGCTAAGAGGTTTACGATGACGAAGCTCTGGGGATTCCATCTTCCTCTTGGTTTGCACGGCAGGTGAGAACTGACAAAAAAAGAAAAGAACTTTTCTTCATTCTGTTTTCAATTTTGTGCTATTTTGTTGACATGTGTTTGCTTCGTTGGGTTTGGTTTTCAGAGGAAAGGGCTCTAGAGCGGCATTGAGGTGGTTCAATGAGGGAGCTGTTGTTCATGATGCAAGTTACCATTCAGCTGTCCAGCTGGAAGGTCCAGAGGTAGTAAAGCTATTTCCTTCTTCTGTCAATTTGGGTTTGCATATGCTTATCTTGTTGAACCAGAACCTTTGCTTCAGTTTATCAATGTTGAGTGTTGGGTCGAACCGATTTGATTCAAGTAATGATTTTTCTGTGATTAATGATTCAAAACACCAGACAAGTTTAATGCTGAATCTGCCAATTGCAACTTCTAGGATTCTTTGTTGTCGGTTCTGAGGATGGTGATGGTGCCTTCTTTGTCGTCTCAATCCGCGGATGCTTTCAGCTCTGTTCTGTCTGGAGTTAGTTATGGAACTGCAATGGTATGTCGTCTATTGAGGTTCTTCATTTTGCCTTGGAGATGTAAGGGTGTGGATCGTGAAATTCCTTTTCTTTTTGCAGCTTCATCATGTAGGACAGCCCACTTCTCAAGCAATAGCACCAGTGAGTTACTTGTGGCGTCCCTCTCCTGTTGTGAGTGGGGAGAAAGGTGGCAATGAGCATAGTTCTATGGAAGGTGATATGCTTCAGAGCTCGGAGCCTTGTTGTTCCTCTCGTCAGCTATGGGTTTGGATACATGCTTCAGCCTTTACTGAGGGATATGATGCCTTAAAATTCGTGTGTCAGAAACAGGTAGGGTGTCTCCCTGAAGTTCATGGATTGGACTTCTACTCTAGCTAACTCTATTTAGGACTTCCTGTCTTGTTATCTAGTTATGACTCTACTGATTGAATCAAATTTACCGTTCTGGTATAAAAAAAAACTGTTCTGATTATTGATTGCTGGAAGTCGTGACTTGGCTCTGTGAGGTTGCTGCTTTATGTTCTTAGTTTTTTGCTCTTTTCATTCAGATGAATGACGGAAATGTGTCAATTACATGTTGTTCACTTGAAGGTCAACTTGCTAAAATAGAAGTTATGGGAGCGAAAGCATCTCAGCTTCTTCAAAGGATATTGCATCCTATTTCTGGGTGAGTTTCCTATCGATAAAACATATTTTGCGCCAGAAGAGAAAAGTTGATAATTTATAAATGTCATGATGGATTTGCAGCACAAATTCAGAACCTCCTTGCTCCTTGAAGAATTGTTCTTTTGTGGAGGATCAGCATGACAGTCAACTATTTAAGTCTTCTACTCCTGAGCATGACTTCCTCCCAGGTTCCTCTCTTTTATATCTTACCGTGAAGGATCCGCGTTGCCTCCACGACAACAGGACTGCAGATCCTTCAGAGTCATCTCCTCCCAACAATGTGGTTGATATTGAAGTTAAAGAAAAAGCTGAAGAGCTACTTCTATTGCATGAGTCAAAATCCGAGGAAACTTACCATATTTCAGAAAAGAATCTATGGGATGTTAGAGCTGGGGATAATATTCCTATTGATGAGCATGTACTATGCATGGAAAAACATCAAATGCGAAGGGATTATATTTGTGTCAATGATCCAAAGTTGGGAATTCCTAAAGTGTGCACTAAGGTGCAGGGTTCAAGATCATGTCCTATATTGGTTCTGAAAAACCATAACAAAAAGGGCCAACCCTTGGGGTAAATTCCTTGCCTTTTCATTCTTCTGTATGGATTGCTCACTGGTTCATGCTTAGTTGATACTCGTCCATATTCTATGCATACTATTTAGCTCTTTTTCTCTCAATTCATGTCAACCTAGGATTAAATGTTTCAGTAACTGAAAATATTCTTGTTGTTGTTTTTCCCCCAGATGGTCAATTATAGTTCCAGTAAGCTGGGCCCGGATCTTCTGGAATCAGCTTGTATCCAAGGAAGCTCATGCAATAGGTCTGAGAGAGAAACAGTGGATAGCATGTGAAGTATGAATCAGTCAATGTCTCAAATCTTCAATTTCATTTTCCAAACAAATATTAATACTTTCTTGTCATTTGCAGGTCGGGTTGCCTTATTTTCCATCAGATTTCCCTGATTGTAATGCATACTGGTCTCTTAAGATTGCTGAGGGGACCAGTACAAGCAAGAAGGAAGAACTAAAACCTCTTGCTGTAAAGTCTTTCGAAGTTCCCATTCCACCACCATGGAATACTGTCCGTGCTAGCCTTGGGAGAGAATTCAACGGATTGCAAGTAGCGGTTCACAGTGAGAAAGATACCATTAGTAGCAGGCTTAATGGATTTGTAGCAAGAACTTCAAGTTTGATGCTGGACATCTTGAAGGAAATCCAGGGTGATAACTTATTCCTGTTCCCTCAAGTCCCCAATTCAGACTCGAGGTTGTTGGCATCAATGAAGGATGAAATCAAAGTTGGCAATGGTGTGGATGATTGTAGTGAGCCTATAAACAATGATCATCATAAACTATGTTTCCTCAGAGTTCTCCTCAATACATTCAAGGAAGGCGTCATTGAAGAAGGAGCTGTCGTGTGTGCCCCACTTGCTAGTGACATTTCTCATTGGACTAAAAGGTACTTCTCATTGCAGACTGAATAGTTACTATCATATGTGGAATGCATGAAATCTTCATTCTCAAATGTTGCTTCCTATAGTGGCACTGGCAGGTTACAGAACCTCGACTTCAAGCTTCGACTCCCTGACTCTTCAGTGAGGTCATACTTCCAAAAGCATTCTTCAGGACAGTGGGACCTGCAGATCCCACAAGATCCTGCTGTTATGGAATCTCATCGATGGCCCATCGGTTTCGTGACAACTGGATTCGTCCGAGGAATGTCAGTAGCTGGTCACTCTCTTTGGTTCATTGCCAATCACTAACAACACAAAGATATTAACATTGTCAATCTCTGATACAGCAAGAAGCCAACAGCAGAAGCCTTCTGCGAGGCGATGCTACTCTCCCGTCTGAGAGAAGAACAGTGGAAGGAAATGCCTGTGGATGAGAGGACGAAAGAAATCTACGTCCTCGTCAGAAATCTGAGATCTTCGGCATATCGACTCGCTCTTGCTACTGTAGTCCTTGAACAACAAGAACATGACGTTGATTTCTTGTAACTGCAGGTTGTACGTTAGACATGAGCTACTCACAATTAAAAAGTACAATTGAATCAACGTTATAACTCTAAAAAAACATTGTAATGATCGTTTTCAAATTGAAACCATACAACATCACAAGGACCATAACTCAATCATGGCTAAAACGTTATAACTCTTTTAATAAATTTTTCTGATTGAACCACTGATACGATTTTGCCTACATGTTCTTCATAAAGTTTGTCCCGACGATTCTTTCACAAGTTCACCGGTGGTGCTATGCCAACCTTGCCAATCCTGAGATAAACAGGAAACTTGACAACTTTCACCTGATTCTCTCCACCATCGTCATTCCAAGCTCGCCGGAACTTCTCCATCACGGCATCTCCCAAGAGCTCCACCCCTCTCTCCTTCGCCGTCTGATACGCCGACCAAGACCTCAAGTAGGTGAAAAAGCCGTCCAAATCCATCCCCTGCTCCGTCACAAACTTAAACGGCCCCGTATTGTCCGCTCCGGCCACCGCCTCGAACGGGAAGTCAACGCCGCGGTACCGGTCGTCGACCAGCTTCCGCTGTGGGTCCCAGTACGGCGCCGAGTCGAACCTGTAGAACGAGTCGAAGACCGGGTCGACCGCCGGGTCGATCTCGGGTGTGCAGTAGCACCACGCGGCGATCACGCCGTTGGGCTTTTTGAGTACCCATTGGGCCTGCTTGTAGAACGACGGGAGGTCGAACCAGTGGAGGGCCTGCCCGACGGTGACGAGGTCGACGGTGGACTCGCCGGCGATGAGGTGCGGGAGGTCGGCGGTTGGGATGACCGGCGGAGTGCGGCCGTAGTGGACGTTTGGGAGCCTCGGGGCGTGGTCCAGCTGGGTGGAGCTCGTGTCGGTGGCGATGACGGTCTTGTAGATTCCGGCGAGCTGGAAGTGGAGGAAAAAAAAAGGTTTCATGTGCTTGGTTATAATTTGTGCAAATCGCCATTTATATAAAGTGAGTAGTTTTTATGCACATTCTAACAACATGATGACAGGAAAGATTCATCAGAAAATGCCCGACGATTGTGTCAATTGATCGGACGGGAAATGGAAATGGAGAAAGGGGGAACTCACGGATACGGCGGCCTGGCCGCTGCCGGTGCCGGCGTCCCAAACAAGGTCGTGGGAAGGAGTCTTGGAGGCTATGAAGTCGAAGAGTTGTTTTGGGTAGCTGGGCCTCGTCTTCGCGTACTCCGCTGCTTGCTTGATGAACAATTCCGCCATCGATTGATTCCCTATTTCTTCTGTTCTCTTTCTCTTTCTCTCCTCCAAATTTTGGCGAGGAGATAACGAATTTGATGAAAACAAAGGAGCTGCAATGGCTGGCATTTATAGCATATCAAATGATAATGATGAGAGACAGTCAGAAAGAGGAAAGCAGTGGGAAGCTGGCTATCGTGGAATAATATTGTTGGAGAAATCAAAGGAGAGGTTCCATTTCAGTTGGAGTTGCCAAATTGGTTTGTGAGAGCTCTCAGTGAGACCATTCTGGCTTCCGGGGGAGGCCATCCGTCTATGATTGATACCATTTGAGCAACCTTAAGCAAAGCAATCGACATGAAATCGTTTAAGTTGGTACGATTTTACTACGATTCAGGAGCCAGTCGACTAAGCCACATGGTTAGCGTCACATATTCATACAGTCACGAGCAGCATTCAATCCCGATCCAAAAGAAAAGAGCGAGCAAGAGAAGATTCATGTACTTGAAGGTTCAACACCATTACACATTTCAACTCGGTGTGAGATTAGCAGAAACTAATACCACAGCATTCGATTACTCGTAATTTGCAGCGACATATTGCGTTACATTATATGAACCACACACATCAGAACCAGCATACATATATAGTGAAGCTCTCTCTCCTCGCTGCCACTATTAATACAACTTGACAAGAGGATAGATGAAACATAGGCAAATGGAGTTATAGTAAGGTTACAAAGAAGCATTAAGCAACACGATAAGATATACATACAAATATTAGGGAGGCTGCAGTTACTAGCGCTCCCCCCATCCCCCACACTGAGATATTACAGTTTTACACGCCCGCTAAGGCCATTCCAGAACGGTCAGGGTTTTCTTACGAGCAATTTGTGTCGTAGCTTGCAAGTCCTAGCAATTCTGGACCTTCTAGTCGAGGGTTGTGCTCAAAGCTACACAGAGAGAGAAAAGAAATCTCGTCAATTCCTTGGCAAGAAAAAAAATAAATGTCGAGACTGAATTACAGAGAGCAAGCTCTTTGACAGCAAAGAATTACATCTCGCAGCAGCAAGGACCTTAAACCACTTGCTAGAGAAAAATGTGACAGTTGAATATCGAGATATCAAGGAATCAAGAGGAACTTATCCACCTTATGCAACTAGCTTCCAAACAAGAACATACAAGAGAGTCGGATAGTTAAGGTCCCACAGGATGACAGATCTAAACAGGCTTCAGTAAGAATGAATGATACCATGGAGTTTTCATAGAGATAGTTACAATCAGATGGTATTTAATCTCAAGAATAGATTGCAAAGCTGAAAGGACTAAGGAAATGAAAATGTGATGGTCAAGCTGGGTCAGGGCAATTGTCCTACTCAGTTTTCAAGGTTTTCAAGCCAAGTTGTCATCTCACCCTCGAGTTAGACATCAAACCTCCAGCTAGACTGTCCAAGACTAACAGAATATTTATATCATCTAAGATCTATCCTCCATTAAAACAATAGCCCCAGTAGGAGCATTAAGTTGGAGGACATCCTCAAAGAAGTAAAGCACAGAATCTGAAGTTACCCACAATTCTCGTGTCTTTTGTGTGTGTGTGTGTGTGTAAATACAAGAAATATGATAATATGGAGCTAGTTCACTTTCTCATCATTCTCACACTGTACACTTCCAACTTCCTGATTCTGAAAACCAAAGCTTACAAATCAAGAAGGAACTATGCAACTATTTTCTCAAGATTGTACAACTTAGCCCAACAACAAAAGGTTAGAACCGAACTAGACCACTCCCCCTACAGATTTGTGTAGTATGCTATAGTCAAAACTTCTAAGTAGAATACATAACATTTGTCTTCAGTGTGAAGTGAATATACTAAATTCACAGCTTATGCATATGAGAGAGTAAGAAGATTAGTTAATCCTACAAGCTAGCATGAAGAGATAGCCAGATAAGAGTGTATGACTTAAATGCACAATGCCCATTATCTACAATAACAGTATAACCCAACAAAGACAGAAAGTGAAGCTAATTGAAGAAGGCTCATTGACCAGAACTGATACAGAAATGCATAGTATAGCCAATAAACTGAAAATTGCAGACACTATAGCATACAGAACACCAACTACAGAGAATATATACAGATCGGGGGAAAAAGAAAGACACTCACTTGTTCAATGGAATATGCTCGAATGGTCCATTTGTTGGAATAGTTCCACACAAGTCATTGTTTGAAACGTCACTGAAAAAGAAAGGCAGTTCCCCTAAGTCACCTTATAGAATTGCAGTATCATAAAACATAATGTAAGATGAGCAAGAAAAGAGGTTCGACAATGTGAGAGAAAGTAACATGCAGTTGAGGAAAAAGCACTTACACTACTTTAAGGCTAGAAACAGCACCAAGCTCCCTTGGAATTGGTCCAGTTAATTGGTTGTCATTAAGCCGTCTGCCAGAAGGAAAGAGTAGGATGAGCAATGAAAATGATGAACCAAGGCTCAACAACAGTACATGACATACGGGAACACAATAAAGCTTGAACCAAATACTTCAAATCACAAGCCTCATTAAGTTCACTGCGAAAGAAGTTGAAGAACAAATTCATATCCAGAGACATGAAAGTTGCTTGAACTTACAAGAACACAAGACTCTTCAATTTTCCCAGCGAAGAAGGAATTGTCCCTGTTATGTTGTTGTTGTACAGGTCCAAGCTGATCAGATTCTTCAACTTACCCAGTTCAGCAGGGATAGTCCCATGCAGGTTGTTCTTATACAGCTCCCTACATCAAAAGTAATACATTTAGGCTGTAACCAATGCTAAAGTACCAAATCAGGGTCCAGCAGACCAGCATCAAATAACTTCCCCTAAGCCACTAACTGAAACCAGTTATATAATAAATGACATTTAAACCGTCGATCAGAGAGGAAAGTAGCAGAAACGTACAAGTACTGTAAATGCTCTAGCTTCCCGAGTTCAGGCACTAGATGTCCAGACAAATTTGAATTGCCTAAATCCCTGCAAGAAACACCGATCGAGAACATGTTAGAGCATGATTCAAATGAGTTCCACCCAGAATAGCAACTTAAGATAAACTGTTCAACATAAACAAAAGCTTCAGTGGACCTGACTAGCTAAACAATTCTTAAACAAGATACGCTGCAGTCCCCCCACCCCCCTCCCCAGTCGCCACCTGGGCGATAGCTAATGAAAGAAAAGGATCCCCCTGGATATGAATCAAACTTCTCTCAATCAAAGACTAAGCTCCACACAAAACTAACGAGTTCATTCACTAAATTGCTACAAATGTTCAGTAGCTAAAATTCAGTCATCTAGATCACAAAAAACAACGCAAACCCAACAGGCAAACAAACTTCAAGCACTGGCCAACACGAAGCTATTTGGAGGGAGACGCTTCCAGCCTGTTTCATTCATAATCGGACCACCAATCAAGCACCAAGACTTCCTAAAACGAGCTACCAACCAACCAGGGAAACGAGACAGCCCCCAATTTCAGCGCAACAAAACTAGAGCCAAAGCAGTAAGGAAGATGATTAGTCGATTACACTCGGGTGACGCGGTTATCCTGGTTGCAGGTGATGTGGAACCAGGTGCAAGGGTTGACGAGGGTGGGATCCCAGCTCTGGAGGACGTTATCCGGATCGGACAAGCTCCTCCGCAGCGTGTAGAGAGCGTCCCCTTCCGAATTGCCGAACGCGACGGGGAGAGCGAGCGCTGCGAAGAAGAGACTCCACAGCGAGAGAGCCGATGCCGCCATCCCGGTGACGGATGAGTTGAGAGATGGAAAAGGGCAGCGAATTTGAAGCGAGCTAGGGTTTCAGTGGTGCAGAGATATGGAGGAGGAGGAAGAAGAAGCAGGTTTGGGTGGGGAAGAGAGGAGAGTCAGTCAACCGAACCACCAGACTGGAAATGGGAAATGGGGAAGGGAAGAGGAAAGAGGATCGGCTTTGGGAACGACAGAGTAAAACATGGGGCATATTTTCCATTTTACTTTTACTTTTACTTTTTCTTTTCGTTTAGTGCTGAGTTGACTCAGTGTGAGCATTTTAATTTCCGAGTCAAATGCTGCGGCGGTCGCTCCACTCGTATCTCCTCATTGTTGCTGAAGACTTATCTCCTCATTGTTGCTGTTGGGCTCTAGTTGGGCTGGGAGCTTTTGTTAACAATCTATTGGGCTGGGAACTGCGGTGACAAGTAGGAGGATCTTTTGTGTATTCATTTGGGCCTTTCGGCTTTTACTTTTCATGTTGGTTCCATAACGTTTGTTTCAAAATCGAGTAATGTTAAAAACATAGGATGAAGATACAACCAATAACATCTAAAAATATCGACAATACTATGCCATATTAAAATATTTATTAGCACAATTGTCTTATGCTTTTATAAATAGAAATTTTCAGTTTAAGATTGAATATGATATCTTTTGCGGAAAGAGATGCAAAATGTATATGTCATTGTCAATGCATGTTTTAGAATTACGTGTGGAAATTTGAATAGGGCAATTGGCATGCTACCTAAATCTGAATTATCAAACTTGAATTATTGATTACTGACATTTTATGACTTATGAGGTCATTTGAGCAATAAAAGGCGAGCCACGCGGCAACACGCAAACTTACCTAGAAGATCCGAGCTTTAAACAATTGATCAACCACCCACGCGTGGAAAGAAGATACAGCCAACAACAACAAAATAACGGCAACCACATCCCATATTAACAGAGTCGTTACCATGATTTTTTTTTCAAGACATATACCGTTAGACAATCATTTAAAGCTCAACGATCAAATCTTCTGCCAACGGAAGTACAAAAACGCATATAACAGTTGCAAATGGCGAGCTTTAAGATCACCACCAAATATTCAAATAGAACAATTTTGATACGTTACCTAATCCATACTCAACAACATACATTATGATACCATGATCATCTCAATGTCGTCATGCTAATTTTTTAGGTTAAATCAAATTTACTACGAGGTGAATTTAAACATTCGATAAACCACCCACACGTGGAAAGAAGATACAACCAACAACAACAAAATAACGACAACCACATCCCATGTTAAAAGATTCGGTACCATGATTTTTCCAAGACATATACCGTTAGACAATCATTTAAAGCTCAACTGCCAAATCCTCTGCCAACAGAACGTAAAAAAAACCCCGTGTATAACAGTCTCAATGACGAGCTTTAAGATCACCACCAAATATTCAAATAGAACAATTATGATACGTTACCTAATCCATACTCAACAATAGACATTATGATACCATGACCATCTAAATGTCGTCATGCTAATTTTTTAGGTTAAATCAAATTTACTACGAGGTGAATTTAAACAATCGATCAACCACCCACACGTGGAAAGAAGATACAACCAACAACAACAAAATAATAAAGGCAACCACATTCCATATTAAGAGATTCGTTACCATGATTTTTTCCAAGACATATACCGTTAGACAATCATTTAAAACTCAACCGTCAAATCTTCTACCAACAGAAAGTATCAAAACGTGCATAACAGTCTCAATGACGAGCTTTAAGATCAACACCAAATATTCAAATAGAACAATTTTGATACGTTACCTAATCGTACTCAACAACACATATTTTATAATACCATGGTGATCTCAATGTCATCATGCTAATTTTTTAGGTTAAATCAAAATTTACTACGAGATGAAACTGTAAAAAAATTGGGCAGTTGAGGTAACAAAGTTAGTGCTACCACTCTTGTTGCCTAATTACATGACAGCCCAACCGCACGCCCACACCCAGCCCACCCACAAACGCCATGCAGCCCATCAAATTAATATTAATTAATAAAACAAAGAATAAAGTAATATTAAGGAACCAAAAAGAAAATTCTCCGGATAAGCCCTCCACTAAGTGAAAAAGAAAAATCCCCCCCACTCGCTTTCCCCATTTTACCCTCCGTCCCTCCCAATTATTACAACCCGCACCACCTTGTTCCTCTGTCATTTTCACGGCCATCACCAAACACAGGACACCCCCGTCATTCCTCACCGTCACCCGAGGTTAAGACCGTAAATGACCACTTTCGGGAAACCCGATAGCTCCCCTTGGTATAACCGCTGGTTCGTCGGTGCCGTGATCTCCTGCATACCCACCCCACCCACCACCGCCTGGACATCCGCGTGATCAACCAGATTGCTGACGTGTTCGAATCTTTGACCGTTGGATTGATATCAAGCGGTGAGATGATCGCAAGCCTGGTGGTCGTTGTAACACGCGATCAGGGGGATTCACCTGACGCTCGGGGGGGTTAAAAAAGTGGGGCCCGCATGAGTTCATCACACTACTGTTTTAAGCTGAGCGAGCGAGTGGAGAACTGAGTGGAATTTCCAGTTTTACTCTCTGGTTCGTGAGCGAGTTGGGGGGGAAGGAAGCCGAAGGAAGCTTTTATTTCTGTTTCTTCTTCTCCTTTGTCTGTATTTAAGGTACAATTTCTCTCCCTCTCAACCGTTCTGCTGTACTCTTGTTCTTCCTAGCTAGGGTTTTTTTTTTCTTCCTTCTCGCTCGCTCTGTCTCTCGCCGTTGTTTTTACTGAGGTGAGTTAGAGGAAGACGACCGTGCTTCTCCGTCTCGTTTTCTTGTAATGCAGCTGGTTTTTGGGTCTGGATGGGGGTGTGGTTTGTGATTTTCGGATTGTGGTCTGGGGTGTGGAATTTTTTTGTTGATATTTTGTCGCCGTTTTTAGAAATGTGTGGCTTGTTTGTGTGTCGGTTTGATTTCGTGAGGTGTGGATGCTTGAGAATCGTTTGTTTTTTTAGGGTTTGGGTTGTGAGGCTGATGGTCTGCTGGTGTCTTGTGATGTGAACAGGTTGTAGCTCGGAAGGTCTGGTTCGGGAAGGCAGCGCTGGTTCATACTCGTGTAGGTATGATTTCTCCATTTCTCCTGTTCGAGTGATGTGTGTATGTGGTAGCTTTCTTTGTTGTTCGTAACAAGGTTGCATGTCGTTGCATCCTTCTGCTATGGGGTTTCGTTTTCGTTGTGGATTTGTTGCATGCAAGGGAAATGACTGTTTAGCTTTACTTTCGCTTTACCTCTTTCAAGTGGCTCTGGTTGTCGATGGGAACATACCCTATTTCTCGTCCAGTTCTGTTGTGGTTTTACGATTGGGGCTTACAATAAGGTTTTACAATCTGGGTTTACCGTGTACGTCAATTTGTCTGTTCTGATTGAGAGCTAAGTTTTCACCATCTAGTAAGCAAAATGACTTGGTACTGTACTGTGAGGAATTATTGTTCTTATTTCACGTTTCTCTTAACGATGTGCCTTGTTCTTGTTTTTATTTTGGTCGGTTCATAACAATGTTGCATGCCGGTTTTCTTCTACTACAGGTTCCTTCATTTTTATTTCTATTGTATCATTTCCTGGATGGGCTGGGTTCTTTTCTTCCGGGGTTCCCTTTGCTTCCACGTGTCTTTTTTTTTTTGTGTGCTTGTGAGCTAGTTTTATGTATTGGATAAGCAAAATTGTTTTGCTACACTGGGGATTTGAATTGATGATTGTGCATTAGCTCTGAGATGGACCATCTGACTGTGATGTGTCTTTTTTCAGACAATGGACTCGGTGGATCCTGATGGAAGTGGTCCTCAGGAGGCCTTGCCACCTCCCCCACCTGTTCTTCCTCCAGATGTGGTGCCGGTAAAACTTGAAGAACCGGCTAAGAAGAAGCCTGCGCGGCTTCCCATGGCTAGGCGGGGCATGGGATCCAAAGGACAGAAGATCCAGTTGCTGACCAATCACTTCAAAGTGAATGTGACCAATATGGAGGGTCAATTCTACCACTACAGTGTAAGTTCTGCATTCAATCGCTGATTTTTGTTGCTCACAGCTCAATGCAACACATTTAACTGGTTGCATTTGCTTTATATCAGGTTGCTCTCTTGTATGAAGATGGCCGTCCTGTGGAGGCCAAAGGTGTTGGAAGGAAGGTTCTTGACAAAGTGCAGCAAACATACAGTAGTGAATTGTCCGGAAAGGAGTTTGCATATGATGGTGAGAAGAGTTTGTTCACCATTGGACAACTGCCACTTAACAAGCATGAGTTCACTGTTGTTCTGGAAGAAGTCACGTCTAGCAGGTTGATTTGTCGTTATCGTGGTGTACTTCTGTCTATCAGCTTAATAATCCTGGGGCTCTATCTGTCTGGTCTTGTCTGTTTGTTAATTTTGATAACTTTGGTTTGCAGGAACAATGGAAATGTGAGCCCAGATGCTGGAGGAAGTCCAAATGACACCGATAGGAAGAGGATGCGGAGGCCTTATAACTCGAAGACTTTCATTGTGCAGATCAATTTTGCTGCCAAGATTCCCATGCAAGCCATTGCTAGTGCCCTGAAGGGGGTGGAAACTGAAAGCTCTCAAGAAGCATTGAGAGTATTGGATATCATACTACGGCAACATGCTGCAAAACAGTAAGTATATGTGGATGCAATCTTTATTTTGCAAGAGTGTTATTTATTCCACTTTGTCTCATGTCTGTGTTTTTTCGTGTTCAGGGGCTGCCTCCTGGTACGCCAATCGTTCTTCCACAATGATCCGAAGAATTTTGTGGAACTGGGAAATGGTGTTCTAGGTTGCAGAGGCTTCCACTCCAGCTTTAGAACAACCCAAGGAGGATTGTCTCTGAACATTGGTTAGTGTACTTAAGTCAGCCTTTACCTTGCGATGTAATTTTGTAGAATTTTTCTCGTTTGGTTGGTGTGCTTACTTGCCTTGTTGCTTCAGATGTATCAACTACCATGATCATCCAGCCTGGACCTGTTATAGATTTTCTGATTAACAACCAGGGCGCCAGAGATCCATTCTCTTTGGATTGGGCTAAGGTAGATATATGTGTGAGCATTTCTTTTCTTGTTACCTTTTCCCTTTGATTGTCTGGCTAATCTGTTTCTTTCTGTCCTTTTGCAAGGCTAAAAGAGTGTTGAAAAATCTGAGGGTTAAAGTAAGCCCTACAAATCAGGAATACAAGATCACTGGTTTGAGTGATCAAAACTGCAAAGATCAGCTGTATGCTTTTCACATATTCTCTTCTCCTCTATTTTGTCCCCTGCTCCGGTCTTTCTTTCCCTATTTTGTGCATTGATCCATTTGGCACGTATTGGTATAAGTTGCCTCAAACTGAGGGTTACATATTTCGTGGTTTTAAGTGTTCCCTTTGTTTCTGTAGGTTCCAATTGAAACAGAAAGGTGATGCTGAACCATTGGAGATCACTGTGTATGACTACTTTGTCAATCACAGAAACATTGAGCTGCGGTATTCGGGAGATCTGCCTTGCATTAATGTAGGGAAGCCCAAGCGGCCTACTTATATTCCATTGGAGGTAAGCTGACAAGTATAATTTTATGTTCATCTTGTGATAATTTATATTTTCTCGTGGTACTCATTACTTTTGTCTTTTTGTAGCTATGCACCTTGGTTTCCCTTCAACGTTACACCAAAGCGCTGACTTCTTTTCAGCGTTCTTCACTGGTGGAGAAGTCAAGGCAGAAGCCCCAAGAGAGGATGGCTGTTCTGGCGCACGTGTGTAATTTAAGTTTGTTAAACCTATCCATTTTTGAGTCGTGGAAGTTGGTTAACCCTTTCACTGGCTTATCTTGCAGTCTCTCAAAACAAGCCGCTATGACGAGGAACCCCTGTTGCGCGCATGTGGTCTCTCAATTAGCAATGGTTTCACCCAAGTGGAAGGTCGTGTGCTGCCAGCTCCAAAGGTACTAGTTTTTGTTAACTTATAAAATATAAAGTATTATTTCGGATCTTGCAAAGGTTTGTTTGCTTTGTGGGCTTGAATATATAGTTCCTCTGCTATCTCTTTCATTGCTAGTATGGCTGCTGCAGTAACCTGTTCCTTTTTTTTTTTTTTTTTGTAACAGCTCAAAGTGGGCAACGGGGATGATCTATTTGCCAGAAATGGCCGTTGGAATTTTAACAATAAGGTGCTTGTCTCTATGTGCTCGCCATTTCTTTTATTTCCTTTCCTCTGATTCATCATTAACCTTTGTCCCACTCTTCATTCCAGAAACTGGTTCAGCCTTGCAAAATTGAGCGATGGGCTCTTGTCAACTTCAATGCAAGGTCTGATATGCGCAGGCTTGTGAATGACTTGATGAGATGTGCAGAAGCAAAGGGAATTGTAAGTTGATCCCTTATACGAGTGCCAATTCATGTGTGTAGTGCAAATTATTTATTTCATTTACACTTATTGCACCTTGTAGGCCATTGAGGATCCTCATGCAGTTATTGAGGAAGACCGACAGATGTCTCGTGCTCCTCCTATAGTGAGAGTGGAGAAGATGTTTGAGGAAATCCAGTCTAAGCTTCCTGGCGCTCCAAAGTTTCTACTGTGTGTGCTTCCTGAGAGGAAAAACTGTGCTGTATACGGTATGGCTGTGAAAACATGCCCTTTGTTTAGTTCCTAGTGCATTTATTTGTCCTAATGTATGTCTGATTTCTGCTGAAGGGCCTTGGAAGCGGAAGAATCTTGCTGAGTTTGGAATTGTAACACAGTGTATGGCTCCACAAAAGATGAACGATCAGTATCTTACAAATCTTCTCCTGAAGATCAATGCCAAGGTTGTTTGCAAGACTTATCTCTAGTATATATCAATCACAGTAATAAAAAGTACTCTGTTTCAATTTCTCACTTCTGCATATTCTCTCTACATGAAGCTTGGTGGTCTGAACTCTTTGCTCTCTGTGGAGCACTCTCCTTCCATACCTGTGGTGTCCAAGGCTCCCACCATGATCCTTGGGATGGATGTCTCGCATGGTTCTCCAGGACAGTCAGACATACCTTCAATTGCTGCGGTATCTATATTTTTAACCTTGTAACTGTACATCAGTCCTAGTGTCCTACAGTCGAATGAGAAGATCCTGAGGCACTTTGTTTCATGGAATATTTTAGGTGGTCAGCTCTCGACACTGGCCTTTGATTTCTCGCTATAGGGCTTCTGTACGGACTCAGTCTCCCAAAGTTGAAATGATTGATTCCTTGTACAAGCGAGTGTCTGACACGGAGGATGATGGAATCATGAGGTTAGTATTAAGAGATGGTTTATCATGTCATCTGTTTTTAGTATGTGTACTGACTTACATACACCCCCCTGTTATCAATCCAGGGAAGCACTTCTGGACTTCTACGTGAGCTCAGGGAAAAGGAAGCCTGAGCAGATAATCATATTCAGGTATGCTTAATTGTATAATGAACTGTTTTTTACTTGAATACTTAGTAAGCCTGAATGGTTGTTCACTGTTGTCTTGCTATTATCTTTATCATGTTGTCAACTTCCTGGAATGAGTACTAATCCTTTGGTATTTGTATTTCCAGGGATGGTGTTAGTGAGTCCCAATTCAACCAAGTGCTGAACATTGAGCTGGATCAAATCATTGAGGTTTGGATTCGATACTCTCTCTTGGATTGTCTCCTTGTTTGATTGGCTTTTAGAACTGCATGCTAATTATTAGTATTTTGTCAATATGTCAGGCCTGCAAGTTCCTGGATGAGAAATGGAACCCAAAGTTTGTGGTCATTGTGGCCCAGAAGAATCACCATACCAAGTTCTTCCAGCCTAATGGTCCTGACAATGTCCCACCTGGTACGTCTGTTCTCTGAAAAATTAGATAAAAGCAGTCTAGAATTGGTGCTGAGACTCTGTACTTTTGTGTTGTGCAGGAACCATCATTGACAACAAAGTTGGTCACCCAAAGAACTATGATTTCTACCTCTGTGCTCATGCTGGAATGATTGTGAGTATCATTGCTTGAATTCACTTATTCTATGAATTAATTTTATTAGCACTATTGCTATAGCCAGAAGATGTTGAATTTGAGATCCACTTCCTTCCTTTTTCAGGGAACTACAAGGCCCACCCACTACCATGTTCTGCTTGATCAAGTGGGTTTCCAAGCAGATGACCTTCAGGAGCTTGTCCACTCTTTGTCCTATGTGTAAGTTTGTTTTCTTTTTCTTTTCTGAGCTTATTGGGCAAAATTAAATTCCAATCCGTTAGTAGCTTGACTGCATGTTTGGGCATTATCTTTTGCAGCTATCAGAGAAGCAGCACTGCAATTTCTGTTGGTAAGAAGACTGTTTGTTGTCGCTCTTTTCTGTAATCAGTTGGAACAGTTTTGAGTAATACTAGTGATGGTCTAATTTTTTGTTCTGTTTTCCCTTAACTCCTCGACCTCAGTCGCTCCTGTGTGCTACGCCCACCTGGCAGCCACCCAGATGAGCACATTCATGAAGTTTGAGGACACCTCAGAGACCTCATCCAGCCGCGGCGGGATGACCGCTGCAGGGCCTGCCCCAGTTCCTGCTCTCCCAAGGCTTGAAGAGAAGGTGGCCAACTCGATGTTCTTCTGCTGAGGTGGTCTTTGTTCATGTGCTGGAAGTACTGTGAAGTGGTAGTAGTGGACTAGTAGTTTATCCTTTTGGCTGTGTACATAAAGTGAACATCTGTAAGGTTGTTGTGAATTAGCCTTAGCCTTGCCTTTTCCTTGATCTAAAAGGCTAAGGAGTATGGTAAGTTGGAACAGTGATAGTAGTAAACTATGAGAGAATGATGAACAATGTTTAGGTGTAGTAGTGGTTAGTAGTATCTAGTGTCTTATGTCCTGTCTGGGTAACTTTTGCAGTTGGATCCTTTTGGATTGTAAGCTTGCTCTTATGCAAGCAATAACAATCAGTAAACATCAAATCCCCAGTTACAAGTTACAACACCAAACTCAGAGCATCTTGAGACTAAAATCACCAAATCAAAAGTTCATGTCTCCAGGGGGCCAATAGTACAGAAGCAGTAACTTGGGATGCAAACAACCGCATTTCTGAAGTTGATAATGTGATCAACAAAACCAAGTAAACACAAACTACCTACTTCTCCAGACTGTATGTGAACATTCTCCCATACTGATTGGAAAGTCGTATTCATCAGCGGTAGGTAGCCTCAATGCTTCTTAATTAATTAATTTCTCCATTTTGTTTTGGAGAGAATCAAATTATATTAGAGAGTAGTAATGTTGGTTGTGGGTTGTTTCACGTCGACTTCACAGTTCCAAATATACATGCAATTACCCTAATCGGGGAGAGCCAGCCTTAAAGAAGACGAGAGGAATCTGTCCAAGGCCAGAAAAGCCAAACCCTTTAATTAAACCGTGGTTTTCGTCCGTCGGTCGGTGTAGCCTTTTTCCTCCGTTTTTACAGTCTCCCCTTTACGCTTTTACTATCTCTGTTTCTACATACCCTTTTGCTGGCCAGCTTTGTCCTTGCCCTGTGTAAGAATGGAATGGCGCACTAACTGAGAGATCGATAATGGAAAATGGAGGGAATCTGAAGGCAGCTTATTGCGATTGCTTTGCTTAGCCAGGACGAGAGGATAGTCTCTTTCGTTGGGCCATTTACGTCGAGAGATAATTAAGCTTGCATGTGCTCTCTACTATCTATATTAAGCTCCCCGACGGAAACTCCTAAACCGTCATCTGATCATTTAACCACAACAACACTTCCTTCTTTCTTTCCTCTCTCTCACCGACGTCTTCTTCTTCTTATTCCTCTTTGTTCTGTTCGTCCAAAGTCGATATTACAAGGTGATCAGGAGGCTTAATTTGCGCGCATTCATAGTGAAGCTCAAGGTACGTATTTTGTTAAGCTTTCGTTATACTTGAAGAGAGTCTTTTAATCAAGGAGACGCCATTACTAATTAAGCTGTGTTTTTATTTATTTATCGCAGCTGGTTGTGTTTCTCTCCTTTTCTTCCTTGGGAGCAAGGCTAAGCTAGCTGTTGATCAAGCTCTATAGAAGATCCTCCTCTGTGGCCGCCGGCGTAATATCTCTGAGATTTGGATTCAGGTATATGTTTGGGGACGTTATGAGCCACCTCTTAACCATCTCTCCGGCCGGCCGGCCGTCGATCTCTTTTGTTGTGTGGCTTGCATGTATGTATAGCGAAATAATGTCCATTAATTCTAAAGTTCTAACTCGCTACCGTACTGGTTTAATTTACAGCTGCTTTGCGAACTTAAAATGGCAAGGGTTGTAAGATTTCGAGATGAGGTCGAGATTATACCGCCGTCGTCCTCGTCCTGTTTTCCGGCCGCCGCCTGCAACCTGCTGAAAATGGCCGGTACGTGGGTCCACATTTTTTTTTTTTTATACTACAGCTATAATGTTCTTAAAACTGCATGTCTAGTTATTTTCCTCGTAAATTGTTTACTTTTTTTTCTCTTCATAATATTAACACGAAAAAAATATAGGGTCTATATGTATTCTGCCTCATATTTACGGTTTGTATTAATGGTTAACCTCGGTACTGAAAGTGTCTGACTATATATACGTAATGTTATTTCGAAAGAGGCCGGGTTAAAAAGCTAGCTGAAATTCATGGTTGAAAATAATTTATTCTTATTTTTTTTACCATGTACCCAAAACGTAATTTATAGTTTAAATATGACACGTTTGACGTATGATTCTTGATCTTCCCTCAGTAATTAGAATCGCAAATTAGGATTAGTTCGTGTGGTTAACCAAAGCTCGGTTATGGGTAACATAGTTTTGCAACAATATGGTTGTGTAATGCTTCCCTTTTTTTATTTCTTTCGTTTGAACGAGTATGGTTAGCCAAAGTTCGATTATGGCTAACATAGTTTCGCAACAATAATATTGTATATAACCAATTGTCGCTCCAAACTCCAATTTGTAACCGCGTAATTTCGATCTCATTGAACATTTTACTGCAAGTAAATTGAGACCAAATCATGTCAAGGATTGAGAGAATTCATAAAAATCAAGAAGCTAGCTATAGGTTGAGAAATCTCAATGACGGCGGAGGAATATAACGAACCAGAAACCTTCGATGTGGTCAATACTTAACACAATTGTTAATAATTAACGTATACCGGTAGTAGAAAAATCTCAATAAAAAAATGATTCCCGAGAAACGTTTTCAATTAAGAACTATTTTGTCACGTTCCGTGAAAGTCAGTTTAGTACACTGCTCACTCTTCCTGAACTCGATTATGTGACGTTTGTATGTATTTTCCGGCCAGGAAACAAGATTACCGGCGCCGTCACTCACCTACTTCACGGCGCCGCTCACTGCGTTCACTCGGTGGCCACCTTTAGCGGCAACGTTTGGTGGGTTTTCAAGGACGTGATCCGGCCGTCGCCGATGAGCTCGCTGGCGTGGACGGCCTCCTTCCCGTTCTTCCTCTACGGATACGGTAATCGTCAAATTAAGAAGTTAATCAGGATTAGTTTTAATTAATTACTCACAATTATATTAACAAACTTTTTTTTTTTTTTTTTTTTTGCAGACGTGGCGATTCAGGACTCCACGTTTTCCCTTCGGCACGACATTCACATGAGTGGCAGTGAACTAGCTGTCTACCTCACGTGTACAGGGAGGGTTGGGTACGCCGTGGGAGCCGTCGCCGCCGGCGTGGCCGCAAACTACTTCGGACGGCGGTATGTCCTCGCCGCCGGGGGCGTGCTCTACACCGCCGGGACTCTTGTCGTGACGTTCACCTCGGGCTACGTGGAGTCGACGGTTGGACGGGCGCTGTCCTGTTTCGGCGTGGGGATGGGCCTCCTCGTGGGACCCATCTTCATCGCCGAAACGGCGCCGTCCACGACACGTGGATACCACGGTACCTTCCCGCAGGTAACCGAATCTAGCCTTTTTGTTAATTTCAAAGTACTTACAAAGAGTAATGTTTTCCACTGTCGCTACTTGCGTATTATTAATGCTCTGTGACAGTGGTAGAGGTTGTATAACCTGCCGTATTTTCATTACTTAAGGGAAAATATGAGGTAGAACTCTTAGAGTCATTTACCGAACCGAATCAAGAATTTGGTTTTTTTCTGAAAGGAATTGATATGCTACTCGATTCGGAAATCGGTTGGGTGGTGGTCGATACTCGAGTATTGGTTCGGAACGAACCGAATTTGGTTCGGAACGAACCGAATTTGGTTCGGAACGAACCGAATTTGGTTCGGAACGAACCGAATTGATCACATGAACTAACTAACCTTGGCCCAATTATCCTAGAGGCCCAGACCCAGAAAAACCATTCCCCCTAGTCCAATACACGCGGGCCAACTCATCATCAAACTCTTTTTTTTTTGTGAGAAAGCGGAGCGCTTAAAGGGCGCCCCAACCTTTATTCAAAAACAAAGCGGGTTGCTTGAACCCCGATAGTGTCATAGTAGATAGTACAACCAGTAGGATAACGCACTGTCAGGTGCGGTAATAACATGGGAACCTATAGGATGAGAGTGTCCTAAATTAGCTAGGAAATCTGCTACAAAGTTTGCCTCGCTCTCTGTAGATATGCATTAAAATAACCAGCCAATCTCGCTCAAGCCATCGACGAATCTCTGCTACACACGAGTAGTGAAGGTGACGCAGAGTAGACTTCTCGATAAGGGACAAAGCAGTAGTCGAGTCAGTTTGTAGAATTACTTTCCTAGTTCCTGTATACCAAGTGAATTTCAGTCCATGCAAGATCCCAGCTAACTCTGCACTAGTAATCGAACCCCCTCCAAGGTTCGTCGTGAAAGCTGTAATGAAAAGGCCGCCATCTCCCCGCACGACTCCGCCAGCTGCGGTGCTAGAAGAAGAAGGCACCACCAATCCATCTGTGTTTAGGCATGTCCAACCTGGATCCGGTGGCTTCCAACTAATGTATATAAGTCTATGGAGTCCCCCAGCTTCGGTGACATGGTTTTCCTTCTCCGAAGCCTTCATAATTTGTTGCCTCAGCTGAGCAGAGTTAAACTGGATTCTTGCATATGACTGTAGCTCACCCTGATAACAATAACTATTCTGTTTTTTCCACAGCAGCCAACACGTACCTGCAAAGAGGGTACTGTCAATAATCCGACTATGTCCTGTGATGTAATGCACCATCCAGTCGTCGAAATTAGTTTCGAAGAAGTCTTTGTCCGGCTCATCTCGAAGGAGTTCAGCCCATGTTGCTCGAGCAAATGGGAAATCTCGAAGTACGTGGATCCATCATTTGCAGTAAGGTGTCTACGTCGTCGTTCGACATTGGTTAGTAGCCGTTGATGGGCCGCCAACCATAGGAATGTGTGCATCCTTTGGAGTGCGGGTAGCTTCCAAATAGCTCCCCAGCGAGGGTTTCTCTCCATATGGCTCTCGTCTTCTTCCCCTGTGAAAGGTGAACTGACCTCGGCCGAGAGACGCCAGCATCATTCGTCCTCCGTTTGTTCCGTAGGTACCGGCTGCATAAAAACCTGCGAAGCAACATCAAGGGGTAAGAAATAGTTTATGTAATCTCGATTCCACTCACCATTAAGAACGAACTCATCGACGGGCAGTTCCAGAGTTGTTGGCGAAACATCAGGAGCAAAGTGAGATAACGACTCTCCATCATTCAGCCACCTATCGCTCCAAAATTGCGCACGATTTCCACTCCGGACATTCCAAATAGTAGCCTCCTCTAGCCGATGCCAAACGCGTAAGAATCCTCTCCACAAATTTGACATACGCCCATTCCTCCTTGGGATAAGCCCTGTGGTCGTTTGAGTGGTATACTTATGCAGTATCACCCTTGCCCATAACTCTCCAGGATTAGTGATAAGTCTCGAAGCAATCTTCATCATGTATGCTTCATTCGACCTTGTCGCCGTACGTAAGCCCAGACCTCCATCCTCCTTAGGTCGACACACCGTGACCCAATCAACCAAATGAACTTTCCTTCCTCCCTCCGTACTCCCCCAAACAAACGCTCGAATTTTTTTTATCAATGTAGTCCCGGACGCTTGCAGGTAAGTAGGAAGTCTGCATAGTGTAGGACGGAAGAGAGGATAAAACCGATTGAGCAAGGGTAACTCTCGCTGCCAGGATCATGGTATTGGCCTTCTATCCTTCAAGTCTAGCATCAATCCTGTCAATGAGCTCGTTATAAGTAGCTTTGGAAACCCGATCATGGATGACTGAAACTCCCAAGTAGCGTCCTAGATTCTCCGTCTGTGGGATCCCCAACTATGTACTTAACTCAACTCTACAAGTAGTGCTGACATTGTTGGAGAAAAAGACTTTGGACTTAGGCTTGCTTATTTTGTAGCCCAATGTCGCTTCAAATGTGTCAAAGCATTGCGCAATAGTTTGGACTTGCCGGCTCGAAGCCTCACTGAACAGAATGAGGTCATCTGCAAAAAAGATGTGAGAGAGGGTTGGTCCAGTTCTGGCCAGTCTAATAGGCTGCCAATGGACTTCCCTCACTGAAGCATTGATCAGATGGCTTAATCGCTCCATACATAACGTAAAGATGTAAGGTGAGAGAGGACATCCTTGTCTAAGGCCACGAGAGGGTGAGAAAGGGCTTGTGAGGCCTCCATTCCACTGAATCTGCATGGTAGCTGAGGTAATACACGCCATGGTAACTGCGACAAAGCTTGATTGGGCTCCTACTGCTTCCAAAGTGTCTCGAACAAAGTCCCAACGGATCCGGTCATAAGCTTTGGCCAAATCAATTTTAAGCACCATCAAACCTCGCCTTCCCTTTTTGGCATGCATGGAGTGGACTACTTCCTGTAGGATGCAGATGTTATCAGTAATATGCCTACCTGGCACAAAGCTAGTTTGTATTTCATGGACCAGACGAGGCATAAGTGGCTTCAATCTTTCTGCAATACACTTTGTCAAAGCCTTATAAGCCACGTTGCAGAGGCTAATCAGACGGAGTTGCTCGATCAGTTTGCAACTCTCGATTTTAATGGCGAGAAAATATGTTTGGTCTCCATGGAGAAATTGGACCTTATGCATGTCTAGTGTGTTTGAAGTGTTATTAAGGAAGAAGGAAGAATACAGAGAGAGATAGAGAGAAGCTCGGTTTTTCTTTGGTCGTTTTCTATATAAGGAAAATCTAACGCATAAGATGGGAGGCATGAGATCATGGAGGGTGTCTGCGAATGGAATGGTTGGGCTATGGGGTCGGTTTGTTCGGCTAAAATCAAGCCAAGTCGACTGTTTTGAAACGATCGAAAACTCGAATAGTAGTTCGGTTTGAAGTCGATTAGGTATTTGTGCACTTTCCGATTAAGTTTTAATTGGGTTTGGTTTTTACCAAACTGTCTGAATGCTCGCCCCTACTCCCTGACAGTCTCATGTTTGGAGTATATCTTTTATCACGCCTTACAATATAATTTCAATTCTTGATGGGAGAGACACTTAGTGGTCTATGTAATTACATATTTAAGATATATTGAATTGTAGGCTCAATAGTACGTCACATTAATTTCACACTTAAAATTGTAAATTTTTTATGTATACGTGTGTAAGAGTATGTAAGTAGGTAAAAAACAATACTAAGAGTTGATTTAAATTGGATCACCTGTTTTTTTATCATTGCAGGTACTGATGGTTGTGGGGACCATAACGGTCCACGTCCTCGAGCTAGCGTTTTTACGAGTTCCCAGGCATCTGGCCTGGAGGCTGATGCTTGGGGTCTCTGCGCTACCGAGCGCGTACTTCACCTACGCGGTCGTCTCGAGACGTTTCACGGACACGCCATCCTGGATGGCGATGCGTGGTCAGGTGCGGGCCGCAGAGGTACTGATGGAGCGCTGCGGGGCTAGCGGCACAGAGTCGTACGACCGGGGACACCATCTGGAGAGGCTTGCGAGGTTTTTGACCTGCCACGTCCCCGACCCCCACGCTGATCCGTTCCCTGGACGGATCACAGGGTTCTGGGGAGACGTCTTTCACTACGCAGACGATTACCTCCGTGACGCCTTCGCGGCCGCTGTTCTGTACGTCGCCCAAGAGGCGATGTTCGAACAGATGGCCCTGCGACTTGTCCCTACTGTCCTCACTCGACACACACTAGTGTCGAGGTGGTCCTTCCCAGTCGCAGGGCTCGTGCTAGCCCTCGTCAGGCTGGCCGCGACGTCGATCTCCATGCACGTTGCAGGGAGATCGATGGCACGACGTAGGGGACTCCTGCTCGTGGGCCTCGGGGTGTCAGTCTGCTTGTTGGGACTGTTGAGCGGTACGGCCTTCGTCGACGCACGCGAGCACGTCAGTAGCGAGATGGCCTTTGCGTTGACGAGCGTCGGGATGCTAGCGCTCGAGGCGGCGGTTGGCGTTGGACCGGGGCCAGTCCCGTGGACGTACGGGCCCGAGGTGCTCCCTCTCACTGTACGCGCACCCACTCTAGGTCTTTGTCTTACGTTCAAGTTTGCTAGCGGTGTACTGTTAGGTTGGACGTTTCCTCAGCTGTTCTTCACTTTTCACCGAGCGTGGTTGGTTTTCCTCGGTGCAGCTGCGGTCACGTCACTTTTTTTCCTTTTCTGTTGTAGGTTTGTTAGGATGACTACCTGTAGACTACTTATGGACGAGTCAGATTAGATGATTGTTGTTGTTGTTTTTTTTTGTACCAAATAATGTAATCAACTGGTGGTTAAAAATAAAACATTTCTTCGTTTCCTACTAATGGGTTGAACTTAGTTTTGTTTTATAGATTATTTCTTCTTCAATTTAAATTTTGGTGATATGGTAATGTCGCAACCGTCTCTCGGGTCAAGTCGCGTTCGCTTTTGTCCATATTACTTGGAGTGAATCGAACATTCTTCGATCGGCTCTAACCTTAGGGTCAGAACCGAGACTTGATCTGCAATTAGGAGATAGTGTCGGGAGTACATTACGTATTGGGAAGTTAATCACACCCCCACAACGCTCTAAATTGGTACTATTTAAGTTGATAAATTTTATATGAATTGATTGTTTTAAGTAATTATTGTGTATTTTTAATATCCCACTGGATCACTAATATATTGCTAATTTATTAGTTATGATTTTCTGGCTAATCTTGGGCTCTCTATGCCTATTGGGGTTCATATGTTTGGTAACCCGAGTCCTATGCTGAGATACTGGCTGTACTTCGATACTATTGGGGTCCAAACCCCTCGTATTATCAATAATCAAGGGTTAGAGCGCCCCTCTTGCGCTCTGTTTACTACCAAAAAAAAATTATTAGTTATGATTTAACTAAACGTCTACTGACGAATACTTTAAAGATAAATTTAATTAGGACCCTACCGGACCGCTAAAGGGCTTAAATGTATTAGTTGTAATTTAAAACCTATCGCAAATTTCTGCCTCTGTCTCTCCGTCTCTCTCGATCCTTCTGTTACGTGCAGTAGTGTTGGGCTTTTGTCAGATCAGGGTTTAGGCTTGATCATGAAAAATGTTTAAGAAACTAGACTAGTTTTTAATGATCACAGCGACTGTTTGTGATCTATATAACTAAAAGAAAGAGCTAAAGTTTTAGTAAAGTTTTGACAATCTGTGTTTGTGTCTTCCGAACATATTAGCCTGAATAGCTAACTAGGGCACTAGATCAAACAACAATTCAACATTTACTAGAAAGTGCTAAAAGATCTTATCTGATAACATGTATGCTTTAATAGACATGGGTAAGTTAGCTTAAACAAGTAAGATCTAGAAAGGTAGGCAAACCAAACTTGTCGTGTTTTCTTCATTTAAGATAGATCGAGGAGACAGTTCTATAAAGACAGCGAACATAAATGATGCATACTCACATACGTATCTGTAGTCATCAAGCATGGATCACGAACAATCATTGATCATTAAAACTAGGGATGACAACGGGTCGGGTTGGACGCGGATAGTGCATATCCGTTACCCTACCCAAAGTAGTTCGGGTTTTACCCATACCCATACCCACTATAGAAATGGGTAGAAAATTAAACCATGCCCAAACTCGTTCGTGTTTCGGGTATCCACGGATATCCATGGATAAAACAATCTCTTTATAACTCCAACAAATATATTAACATTCACACGTATTCTCACATTACATAAGAGGAAAAGCACGACAATTATTCACTAGAATGTAGAAAATTAATTAAAACAACACAATTGCATAACAATGTTATATTTATATGCTAAATAAAAAATATGTTAGAGAAAAATAATGATTTCCTAGATAAAATACATGTGCATAATCGGGTGGGTTCGGGTTGGATAGTGCCAAAACCATGCTCACCCATTACCCGCAATATTCGGGTTCGGGTTTTACCCATACCCACAAAAAGTCCTTCAGGTTCGAGTTTTACCCTACCCGATTAGATCGGATTCGGGCGGATATCCACGATTACGGATATTTTTGTCATCTCTAATTAAAACCTAAGGACCTGATTGAGAATGCGTGAGAACGGATGGGCTTGAATTGGGCTCTTATTATGTCAAATTTAAGTCCGTGTTTTAAGTTGGGCTGAAGAAACTGACTGATTTTCCTTCTTTTTGCAGATCCTCCAACTTTGCTTTAGGCTCCAAACCAGAGCTAATAACCTACTGAAATGAAGTTGGGTCTGAACCGAATTGGTGACTCAAGCCCATTTCTTATTTTCTTGTAATCACATTGTATAAACCTTGTTTTGGGAATTTGCAATTATGATTTTTTTTTTAATTTGAGAATGTAACTCTTGGGCATGTATTATGATGTAGAGATTCGTCATTAGATTTGTATGTTCTTATCTTAATTGGTCATACTTTCCCTCAGTCTAACCTTTGTGTAAATCCCCAACGTCAAAACCTTGATCACTATAACCAAAATATTAGCTCTAAACAATTTTAGCTACTGCCAATCCAAGAATAAAATAAACTAATCTGATCTAAGTGAACATGGTATTATTGGTGCTTATTGACTCGCCATTGCTAAGGAAGCAAAGGGAATTTGAAAATTATTGGTACTTATTGACTTGCCACTGCTAGTCTCAATAAATTCTTTCAAAATTTTGTTTTTTTCAATTTATCGTTACATGTTTCTTTTGGGGTTTGGACTAGATTGTTTGCCCTAGACAATATGTGGTGTCTACATAGATACTCCTAAACACAAGTGATCTTTTATGCTATTGCTCATAAACTGAGTCATTCACCGCTTGTATTAGATTCATTATTCACAAAAAAAAATTATCTCAATTTAATGTTTAAAATAATTAATAGTTCTCTGATTCTACGAATACATATAATTACAGAAAGTGATAAATGTTTTTTTATTTTCCAAAAACCACCATTATTATTAACTTCCCACTAATAAGTAATAATTCCTTGGAGAACGAGGTATGCACTGAATAGTGACTAAAAAGTCATAGAAAAAACTGGAACTTTATTCTCAATTCAATGCGAATGAATTCTGAGATTCTACGAATACATATATTTATAGAAAGTGACAAAAAGAATGGATTTCCCCCCATTACTACCGTTATTCTTAACTTGCCACATAACAATTCATCGAGATTTGAGAATCTGACATTACCATCTTTAACGGATTGCAATGCATGTATAAATATGTAAGAACGACGAGTTGATGATGATTGGAGTACCCTTCGATTTCAATCAAACCGAAGCAAAAGAGAGTTAGAATTTTCCGTTCGTTTGTTGATACGTCATGGAGGCCAAGTTTGTGGCGGCGGTTCTGGCGGTGCTGTTGCTGACCACCGGCGGCGACATGATGTGCTCTGCCTCTCCGCCGAACAGAAAGTTCACGAAATGCTACGATGATTGCATGAAGGACTGCGGCAAGAGCGGAAGCTTGGAAGTTTGTATAACGTATTGCACGCAAAAGTGTACACAATCTAGTCGTCGATTCCACAGCCAACAGCCGCCGGCCGGCGACAATAATCAATAAACTAGCTTATAGCTCAAGGGTCTTTTCTTCAAGTATGTTGCTGTTTCGGTATGTTGTTGTTTAAACTTTGTCGAAGAAGAATAAAAATGCATAATGGATCTCTGTTACGTATTTTGCTTCTCACTATATATATATTTCATGCATATATGTGATGTTGGTTATGAAGCTGATGGAAATAGTTGTCGTTCATATTCTCCGGCGGGGGTGTGGTCTAATTTCTTGCCGGCGGCGGCTGATATGAATGACTGATAATAAGAAACATCCGGTGATAGTAATTCCAAACTTGAATAACCTTTTATGTTTTTATTTATTTATTCTCAGTGATGCTAATTAATTCTCTTATTTATACGAATATATATATAATTATAGAAAGTGAAACAAATTAAGATTTCCCCATTACCATCACATTATTGACTTCCCGCTAATAATTGATCGAGAATCAGGTATTTCCATCTTTTGCCAGATTGCATATTTCCATCTTTTGGTAGATTGCTATACTATTTGTATCTTATCTTTTGTCAAAAAAAAAAATGAAGCTATATTATTTGTATCGGGCTTGTTATTTATGGAAAAAATTAAATTTAATTTCTCAATTATATGCTAATAATTAATTCTGAGATTCTATGAATACATATATATAATTATTGAAAGGATACAATTTTGATTTCCCTTTTATTTGAAGAGGGCGGAGGTGGTGGAGAAAAGAATTTATTTATTATTTATTTTTTAATAGTTACGAAAATAAAGTGGAAATTGTAAGTTTAAGTTTTTAAATAGCCGACTAACCCATAATCAATTGCCGTGTGTTTTAGACAGTGGTAGGTAAATAACTTTGCCGAGTGTTTACTGTAATGGATTTGTAGTTTATTATTAATAATTTCCCACAAATAATTAATTGAGAATAAGGTATGCCGTATATGCACTGTATTGGGCTCCATTTCCCCACTAAAAAACTGGAACTTTACTCTCAATTCAATGCGAATTGATTCTCAGATTCTACGAATACATATAGTTATAGAAAGTGACCAAAAAAAATATATATTGATTTCCCCATTGTTATCATTATTATTAACCTTCCCTCATAGAAATTCATGGAGATTTGAGAATCTGGCATTACCATCTTTAAGTAGATTGCTACGCATATATAAATATGTACTAAGAACGAAGAGTTGGTGACCGGAGTACTCAGCCAAACCGACGAGACAAAAGAGTTAAGAGATTTCGAAAGACAGTTTGAGTCTGTTCGTTTGTTGAAATATATTATGGAGAGCAAGTTTTTGGCGGCATTACTGGCGGTGCTGTTGCTGGCCGCCGCCGGGACGATGGGTGATGCTTCGGCCGACGATTTCACCAAATGCTACGATGACTGCATGAAGGAATGCGGCCATAACGGCAGCCTTGAAGTTTGTATAACGTTGTGCACGGACAAGTGTACGCCGCCGACTAGTAGCAGTGAATGGCATGCGTCGTTCGACGCCGGCCGGCGAGTATAATCGATAAGAGCGCGCATGGGTTCTTCTATTCGTTATTTTTTTTTGCTGTTTTGTCAAAATTAAATAATAAACGTGGCGACGCTTTTGTTTTAGTTACAAATGTTGTTTTATTTGTGTCGAAGAAGAATAAAATTATAATGGATTTCTCTTATATGTTTTGCTTTCTGTTTATATTTCATATATGTCATGGTCGTTATGAAGCTGATGGAAATAGTTGTTTTCCACGTTCTCCGGCGGGGTGTGGTTTGATTTCCCGCCGGCCGGCGGTGGTTGATATGAATGAATAATAAGAGACATGTGATGTGATGGTAATACCGTAATAGTGATATATCACCGGAACGAAATTCATTATCCTAGTAAAAACATAGATGACTATTTTATTGAAATTAAACATGTTTGTGATAATCCCAACCTTAAATAATCTTTTATGCTATTATTCGAATTTAACCAAATCATGCAATGTATTAGGGTCATCACTCGTAGAAAAAATTATTTAGCTTACCAAATAAACTTTATTCTGAATTATGCTAATTAATTCCCGGATTCTACGAATATATATGATCATATATAGAAAGTGAAGATAACCTTTAGATTTCCCCATTACATTCACATTATTAACTTGCCGCTAATAATTGATTGAGATGTATTACCATCTTTGAACAGATTGTTATTCTTCATTTCTTTGTATACATATATATAAATATGATTTATCTAAGACGACCGACGAGTTGTCAACCGAGACAAAAAAAAAATAAGACTGAGAGATTTGCTAACTAGTCCAAATCCAGGAAGCTCTACTTCCTTTGAGAGCCTCACGAAACTAAAAAATGAGGCAAAATACGAGCCATTCAAGAGTCTGACCCACAAAGCATTTGGATGGAAAAAATGGATGGATGCACAACATATTGAATTTGATAGTATTTAATGCCCTATCTTCATTTTAGTGGTAGCCAATTCTCAAAGTTTAGTGACATGAGAGTTGTTTAACCCTTTTTATATATAAGTGTAGAATAGTATGTAAGAAGAAGGTAATAACAAATACCAAAAGATAACTAAAATTGGATTAATTTTTATTGTTTTAGGTACTGCTTGTAGCAGGGACCATAGCAGCCCACGTACTGCGGTTGTCACTCTTTCGGGTCTCCAAGCATCTGGCCTGGAGGGTGATGGCCGGGGCTGCCACACTGCCGACTGCCTACTTTACCTACACGGTCTTCTCCACACGGTTCACGGACACACCTTGCTGGTTGGCGTTGCGCGGCCAGGGTCTCGACGCAGAGCTGTTGATGGAGCGTTGCGGCGCCGACGGAGCTGAGCCGCACGATCGGAGGGCCCGACTGGAGCGCCTCGCAGGATTTCTGACCTGCCACACCCTCGACAGCCCCCTCGATCGCCAGCGAGGTCGGTTCCCCAGACGTCTCGCCGGCTTTTGGGGTGACGTGATGTACTACCTAGACTCTTACCCCCGCGACGTCTTCGTCGCCCCTGTTCTGTACGTCGCCCAGGAGGCGACGTACGAACAGATAGCTCTCGGGTTAGTTCCTGCTGTCCTCAGACAGCACGGACTGGAGTCTAAGCGGTACTTGCCCGTCGTTGGGCTCGTGTTGGCCAGCGTCAAGCTGGTCGCGACGTCGATCTCCATGCACACGGCAGGGAGGTCGATGGCACGACGCCGGGGACTGCTGCTCGTGGGCCTCGGGGCAGCCGCGTACTTGCTGGGACTTCTGAGCGCCACGACCTTTGTCGATGCACAGGACCACGTCGTGCACGTCGGTCGCAGGACCTCCTTCGCGGTGTCGTGCGTCGGGATGCTCGCACTCGAGGTGGTGATCGGGCTTGGGCCGGGCCCGGTCCCGTGGATGTACGGCCCGGAGGTGCTACCTCTCGTAGTACGAGCACCTAGTTTAGGTTTTAGTCTTTTGTCTAGGTTTGTTTGCAGCATACTGTTGGTTTGGACTTTTCCTGAGTTGTACTTCAGTTTTGACAGAGCCTGATTGGGCTTTCTCGTTGCAGCCGGGGTTGCGAACCTTTTTTTCTTGTTTTCTTGTAGGTTTGTTAGGAGGACTACCTGTAGGCTTCTTATGGATGGGCCAGATTAGTACGAGTAAGTTATGCGCATTGGACTACCGTTCTTTATTATTTTCTGTTTATATTGGCCATGCCTGGGGCTTATCTTGGATAAAAAAAAACTATTGTAAGTTTAACAGTACGTCAATTGTTATATAATATAACAAATATTAAAAATAAATTAAATTATAAATAATAGTTAGAATTAGCAATTTAATTAATTATAAAGGTGTTATATGTGTTTATATCATCTGGATGCAATTGAAATTGAAATGCGAACATAATTAGGGTATTGATCAAATTAGCACTATATTGCATCGGGTCGCATCAGAATTCCCCAAATTAAACATGTTTAAGCAAGACTAATACTAGAAAGTCTCGTCCAGATTAAATATGATTTATCTAAGATGATTGTTATTCTTCATTTCTTTGTATACATATATAAATATGATTTATCTAAGATGATCAACGAGTTGTCAACCGAGACAAAAAAAAAAAAAAAAAAAGACTTTGAGATTTGCATACTAGTCCAAATCCAGGAAGCTCTACTTCCTTTGAGAGCCTGACCCACAAAGCACTTGGAGATGAGAGGGCTTACATGGCCCACTTAATGTTAATGTGCCCAATTTTGTTGGAGATGAAAAAATGGATGGATGCACAATATATTGAATTTGATGGTATCTAATGCCCTATTTTCATTTTAGTGGTAGTCAATTCTCAAAGTTTAGTGACATGAGAGTTGTTTAACTATTTTTATATATAAGTGTAGAATAGTATGTAAGAAGAAGGTAATAACAAATACCAAAATATAACTAAAATTGGATTAATTTTTATTGTTTTAGGTACTGCTTGTAGCAGGGACCATAGCAGCCCACGTACTGCGGTTGTCACTCTTTCAGGTCTCCAGGCATCTGGCCTGGAGGGTGATGGCCGGGGCTGTCACACTGCCGACTGCCTACTTTACCTACAGGGTCTTCTCCAGACGGTTCACGGACACACCTTGCTGGTTGGCGTTGCGCGGTGAGGGTCTCGACGCAGAGCTGCTGATGGAGCGTTGCGGCGTCGACGGAGCTGAGCCGCACGATTGGAGGGCGCGACTGGAGCGCCTCGCAGGATTTCTGACCTGCCACACCCTCGACCGCCAGCGAGATCGGTTCCCCAGACGTCTCACCGGCTTTTGGGGAGACGTGATGTACTACCTAGACTCCTACACCCGCGACGTCGATCTCCATGCACGCTGTAGGGAGGTCGATGGAGCAAGGCCGGAACTGCTGCTCGTGGGCCTCGGGGCAGCCGCGTGCTTGCTGGGACTTCTGAGCGCCACGACATTTGTCGACGCACAGGACCACGTCGGGCACATCGGTCGCAGGACCGCCTTCGCGGTGTCGTGCGTCGGGATGCTCACACTCGAGGTGGTGATCGGGCTTGGGCCGGTCCCGGTCCCGTGGATGTACGGCCCGGAGGTGCTACCTCTCGTAGTACGAGCACCTAGTTTAGGTTTTAGTCTTTTGTCTAGGTTTGTTTGCAGCATACTGTTGGTTTGGACTTTTCCTGAGTTGTACTTCAGTTTTGACAGAGCCTGGTTGGGCTTTCTCGTTGCAGCCGGGGTTGCGAACCTTTTTTCTTGTTTTCTTGTAGGTTTGTTAGGAGGACTACCTGTAGGCTTCTTATGGATGGGCCATATTAGTACAAGTAAGTTATGCGCATTGGACTACCGTTCTTTATTATTTTCTGTTTATATTGGCCATGTCTGGGGGCTTATCTTGGATAAAAAAAAACTATGGTAAGTTTAACAGTACGTCAATTGTTATATAATATAACAAATGTTAAAAATAAATTAAATTATAAATAATAGTTAAAGTTAGCCATTTAATTAATTATAAAGGTGTTATATGTGTTTATATCATCTGGATGCAATTGAAATTGAAATGCGAACATAATTAGGGTATTGATCAAATTAGCACTATATTGCATCGGGTCGCATCAGAATTCCCCAAATTAAACATGTTTAAGCAAAGACTAATACTAGAAAGTCTTTGCCACAAACACCAATAAGCTTGACACCAGCAACTATCTTAACCTTCCTAACAAACTATAAACTGAGATCCCCCCCAAAGATACACAAACTATCCATCTTAACTCTAACGGCGCCGTTTTAAATCCTTCTTGTACTATCTAGAACATTGCCGTCGAGAGGGCGGACGCCGTAAGAAGACCGAGACCGATGAAACGGGCGGCGGAGAGCGGCGACGGCGTCGATGCAGCGGAGTTCTTGTTCGCCGGAGAAGGAGCCGGGGAAGCAGCCGGAGGGATGTTTTCGACGGGGATGGCGACCTTCAACCCGCCGTAGCAGAAGCCTCTGCCAGAGAGGAAGTAGTAAGTCTTGGCCTCCGTCAGCTGGTAGACGTCGCGGCCGCCTCTCGTGATGTTCTTTATGAATCCGACGTCGTTGCACGTCTCGTAGCTCGTCTTGTTCACTTCCAGCACGTTGTAGGTGTGCTTGTCGAACCCAAAATCTGCGTACGTCACGTTGAAAAAATAAAGAAATAAAAGGTCTAAATTATCAGAGTATGTAGTACGAGTAGTATTGTGTAATACTACGAATACTATTATGTAATTGGGCGGTATTATATTCCTTATGAGAGTCATAGAAGTTAGATAAATTTCGTATTAGTGTTAGGGCTATTATAGAAGTCTCTATATAAACCCACGTGGTTTCAGTAATAATACACAACAGTTTATACCGTATTTCTGATTTACCAACATCAAATCATATGATCAAACTGGAATTCTACTTTTTTTTTATTTTAGCTTTCGTGACTTCGAGTTGTTAATATGAGTTAATTTGATACTAAATAGATTATACTACGATTATTAATGAAATCCAAATATGAAAAATTGAGTATCAATGATAATGGTTAGTTCGATGAGAGTACCTATACCTTATACCTATTTAGAGTAAAATGGATCAACTCAAAATTATCATCCTAGAATTGAGATAGTGATACAAATTAAATGTGAAGGTTTATTAGTAGTTGGACTGTGGTATAAGCTATTATAAGACTAATTATTCTTGAACAAGTACGTGATTTCTAAACCCTTAAAAGGCTCACTAAGTAACAAGAACTAAAGATGAATGCAAAAGCTAAGTCTGCAGGCTATGTTTTGTTCCATTTTGTGACTGATAAGATCAAAGGCAGTGATCTAGCTAATTAATTAGCTAAAATAATTAGTTAGAGAGTCTTGGCCGGCCGTCTAATCTAGGGACGATTTGTACAAAGAGTTACGTATTAATTTGTTCAAGGAATCTGAAAACTAAATTGTAAAAAAAAAAACACAGAAACAATTGTAACAACAATAATCTAACACATTCAACAGAGTAGTGTGATAAATAGAGAGAACTCACAAATCCAGTCGCCGACGTAGAAGTGTTGGTGAGACGACCACTCGGTGAAGTTAACGTTGGCCGCCCACGTCGTCTTCCCACCTCCGACGTAAACCAGCCTCCCTTCCGCCGCCGTCGCCGCCGCCAATACAACAGCCACCGCGACAATCAGTAGCCTTCTGAAACCCTCCATTATTTCGCTATACTATGAAAATATTCTTTCGTTCTTTCAGAGAGAAGAGCTATTTATCGAAGCCGCGCTTTACTGAGATGGAAATGGGGGAGGTGGAGGATCCTATAGATGAGGGAATTGGAAATATTTAAAGGGGTGTATTTAATGAATTTCCATATGTTCACTGCACGTTATATTATTTTTAGATTTTTTTCTATGTAAATTATTATGAGTTCTTTAGTTTTTGTTATGAATTTGGGTTGGGCTGGCAACAGAGAACCAAAAAAAAAAATTGTAATTAAAATGGTCAAAATTTAACGGAATGGATTAAATGGGTAGTATAAATAAATGATCATTTACTTTACTTCCAAAATGGTTTCACGGCGGTTTCTCTTTATAGGCATTGTTATGTCAAAGTACTATTAACACCAAGGTTTTTACTTTTTTTTTACCTGTGGTAAATAAGCTAAGCTTTTTTATTAGGAAATGGTAAGTAAATTTCCTTTACTACTTGCAAAAAAAAAAAACAAAATTCAGAGAATTGGGAATGGAAAGAAGGATTTACGATTTTCCGCTTTAAACTATAAATAAAATTTTAAGATATTTAGGATTTTGTGCATCAAATTAGCGGTTTTCATGTGAAAAATTTTGGGCCCATTAAGAATTCTTGAGGCTGTTCTGTGGAGCTGTTTCGTGGAGTACTGGGCTTGAGTTACTGTGGGCCTCTTGCGTAGATTCTAAAGTCAGAAATGTTGACTACATGAATGCTAGGTGACAAGGTAGTCTCGTTAATTTGACAAACAATTGACTAAAAAAAGTTAAGTTTCTCTATAGATATGAGTGATTCGAAGTTTCGAACATCTCATCACTATACTGGAGAGTACGAAAAAGCCCGAAAACGGCTAATGTGTTGTTAATGGGGTTCGTAATTTTGTACTTGTAAACCATACTAATGAATTTGTCATCATAACTTACCACCTACGAGATTTTGGTCAATTAGTTTGCATACGTTGAATCCTATGTTACCCGTGATTAAACTACTATCCGCGACAAGGAAACATGTACCTTAATTTCGGCCAATAATATCTCTTCATAATAAGATAGTTCATACAACGAGTTGTATGTTACATAACTTCTTACAACTGCAAACTTACAACACAAACATCATCAACAACACAGACCACCATAACCTTAAAAGCTCAAATCATAACAATGCTAATCCAACTAGTCAACTAGTAACCATTTTACCACTAAAACGTCATTAACTCCAATAACCCACTAACCACTCATGAATTAATCACCCTACAGTTCCTCCTAATCTCCCCATTAGACCCAGTCAGAGGCCCAATATTCCCCATCCTGACCATGGAATTAGCGAAGTCAAAGAAGAATCTCCCCGGGTTGACGCTGTAAATCTGGACGAGGCTTCTCGCCGCGGCGGTGGCAGCCTCGCTGCCGGTGAACAGGATCTGGTCGGAGCTGAGAAGCCCTTTGTTGTTGACCAGGTTCTGGAAGTAATGAGTGTCGAACAAGTCCGTCGATCCCCTGTCCAAAGCGGTGGTCGGGTTGCCGTTGACATTCGCCGGGCACAAGCTTTGGAGGTCGGAGAGCATGCTGGACTCCAACGTCGGGTCCGGAGCTCCGGTGCCGGAGAAGTTCGTCAGCCTGTTGCTGAACGTCGCACATGATGCTTGTCCAATCGTGTGACTACCTGCAATGGAAGTAGTTAGCATGCTGATATCGTTGGATTGGATCGTTGTTCTACGCATTGTGAGACAAATTTACACTATATGAGAGTGCCGTCCAACAACGTGAACACATAATTTCAGGGTTATATATAGTAATTATTAATCATTTTTTAGGCACCTTAAGCAAACCAATGTAATCAACTTTGTGCATATATAGAATTACCTGACAAGGAGACGACGTCAACGAGGCTATCAAGGCCAACTGCAGCAAATTTGGCGATGATCAAGGTGAGGTTATCGAATGGGCCTGGAAGATCACCGGCTCCGGTCTGATTAGCCACCAGCCCATCTCTTCTCCCAAGCGGGACTTTCCAAGACGGCCCACCACTCTGTTTGACAGGTCAGATCCCAAACAATTGAAGTTTGCTGTGATGAACTAATTCTTGACACGCTATCAGAACATTATCGAGATTGTTTTTCGGACGACTCGAATTGATAGAACGAACTGGTTGGTTATCTATAATACTTCACCAAACATAGAAGTAGGGAAAAGGGGTGTTTTTACCAAGAGGGTCGAATCGCGGGCAGCTAGAGCAAGAATATCAGCACAGGATACAACTCCACTGCACTGGCTTTCCACTGCCCTTTTGATGGAGTCCACCACTTCAAATCCTCTAGCTGAGTTCAAGTTAGGCCTGGCAAACTTCTCACCATCAGTCCCATCCAGCAGCAAAGATCCATCACATCCCTGCAAAACAAGTTTCTCATCATTTTACATCATTCCTAGATCTGCTGGGATTATAGTAGGATGATCAGGCCTTAATTAATTCATAAATATGGCTATGGACTGTACATAAAGTATAACATGCATGCAGAGTTGGCCTAGCGATAATGAGAACGACAAACATTTCGACGACCTACCACGAGGTCCAACAACATCTTAAGAACCATGTCATCATGTAAGGTAGGTAGTTGGGCAGCTTAAGGTAGGTATACATTACATTGACAAAGCAATCATGGAAGTGCAGGCGCAACAATGAGGCAGCCATCCGCATCTCAGCCTTGACTGCATTCACCACTTCCTTGCGCACGATTTGGGCGAGCTTCGGGCACGTCGATGCATAGAAATCAACACTTAGCTGGGATTTCACATCAACCACACAAAGCATCAACAGTAAAATGGTGACAAACTGAAGAAGTGAACCAGATCGGCCCAACAACAGTGCTGAACTGTTCTCCATTAACTGGTATATCTGTCTATCTAGGCTAGATATGTAGGAAGTTTGTCACTCTTTATCAATTGCAACTTCAATGTGCTTTAGCTTGACCCCATTGAGCCCTATTTATAGGCAGATGGGTGTGTTATAATCTATATCTATATGCGCACATGTATGGCGGCTTGATGATCAGCCAGTGAGTGATCAATTAGTTAATCTGGGCGGTTCAAAAAGCTTTTTTGTTACCAATTAACTACTCATATAACCTCTGCATTTGGGTATGTGGTTATACCTAACCATATACGTTAAGAGGATAAGTTAAATTCTCCGGCCACATTAGACCATGCTGAAATCAAGCAAATACAGAGGTTCTGCTGTACTTATCTGCTACATACCATTAACTCAAGCTTTCGTATCCAACTTGGTTAAGGGTTTAGTGGGCACTAGTTGCAAAAGGCACTCAACTTTATGAAGTCACTTGGCTGCAAATTGAGACTAATGGTGTTCTTGTTCTGCTGCATTGAGGAAGATGAGGTCATGAGGTTTTGTCAGTATAAGGTGCTAATTTGAGGTGGGATTTATATAGGGGTGGTAATTGGTATGGGATCGGTATTCAAATAACAAATACTGAAATGCCTAATAGTATCCTAAATTCAATTCCAAACATAATTTCAAAATAAATTTGGTATCTCAATCCCTAATATTTTGTTCGGTATCATTATATACCAAATTTATTCCTTTCAAAATTACAAATAAACTATATATAAGCAAATACTTATCAGCATTCTCAAAATATATAAAAACAAATAAAGATGTCTAGTGCAAAGCATATGAAAAAAAAAATCTCAATTACAAAAGCAACAAACCATGCAAGTATTGTGCCTAAGAAGCACATAAACAAACTAAAGTAACAAACATAAACATACTACAAATAACGAAATGGTGGACTGGGTTGTCAAATAGTAAGGGAATGGGCTATGTGTAATTAAGTGGCCATTTTGGTGGTTGAGGATTTGGTGGCAGTAGTGGGGAAGCCTAGTTGGGCGAGTTAAAAATTAAAATAAACATTAGCATATATTTCGGTATTTATCAGTATATACTGATCTCACTCACGTAATTCCTAATATAAAATAACACTTGAGATTCAATCTCAATTCGAATCTCATAAAATAATAAGTGTATTCAATAATATCAAATATCAACAAATTCGGCATATGATATTCGGTGTATACCCAAATACCGATCCCAAACTACCCACCCTAGATGTATATGGTAAACACAAAGGCACACACTTGAAACCACACAGCTTAAGGATTGATTCATAGCTGGATTCCATCTAATTCTATCGTGGGGAATCGGGTCGTCGCAATAGTATTTTAGTTAGCCTTGTTCTTCCACTAATCACATTAAGCTGTAGTTAATTAGCATATCTCTTCTGTCGTATTTACCCAACTTACATTGTATAGAATCATTTCTTATTCAATACGACTTAGAGCAATTTCCACACAGTTAGTGGTTCTGACTTGTGAGTGCTGCAAATGTGCAATCACAGTAAACTTAAGTGCAACCATCAAATAGAAAAGAAACTGAAATAGGGAACCAAAAACTTTAAAGAGACACCCTTAAAATTAATCAATTAGAGTACAGCAATGCTCACGATATGTACCGTTTCTGAGAGCAACAAGAGATTTGTGCATTACAATGGAAGATTAGTTTACCTAACAGTTGCTGGAGGGTTACATGGTGAGGAGAGACTGTACTAGATGATGAGCAGGTACTTGTAAGTAATGCGTATTAGCTATTTTCCTGTCCCAGCCAGCTTTTTCCTGCTGAAAGGCTTGCAAACTGGAGAGAAGAATAGCAGAGGTTCGTCATTTACTTCATGATGAGGAAGATCCGACGATTTGAAGAAGAAGAAGAATGACTTGAGGTAACTTTACAAAGGAGCACTATAGACCCATTAGCCTGAACAAAATGGCAGCCGATGAAGGAGGCGGGGGCAGAGTGAACAGAGGAAACCAGAGCCATAATTGATGGAGGCATTTCTGCAGATAAGTGGAATGAAGAATCAAATTATAGAAGTACGGAAAAGCTCTGCACGTGCTCTCTGATAAGGGCAGAAGAACATAAGCATACTGAAACATTCGTTCAGCTCATATGAGAAATTTCGATCGTTCAGCATCCGGAGAACAATGTTGAAACAGTCACGCTTACCTCTTTCAATCTCCCGTCCAGTCTATCAATTCACTGCTAGGCGCAGAAAGCTTTGCCATGTGCTCCTCAGCTTCAATGTCATTAACCACACCACGGCATCGTGGGAAACCACAGTAGCATGGTAGTTGTTCGTCGATTGACAAAAACCTAATGATAAGTGACAGTGAGGTACTGGCAAGTACAATTTAGAGGAAGAGGGAGAAGTTGAACGCTAAAATAGTTTAAGAGAGTTGAGGAGAACCTATAATCATAGGTAAGTTCTTCCCATCTTTTAATATCTCGCTTTGCATAGATAATGATATGCTCATCACCATTCACGCTTATGACTCTGGAGTAGCAATTGGGCTGTTGAAAACAGATACCGAAATTCAGTATCCTGCATTTTAATGGGTTTGAGTATCTAAAAACATACCACCTTACATTAACTTAGAAATTGCCCAAAGCTTAGGTCATATATATTTTACATCATCCAAACAAAAGAAATGGATGGGAAAGTAAGATGTGTACCTCGCATGAGTGATTAATCAGATGAGCAATGCTTCCTGCCCTTGTAGCATCAATAACTCGTTCATTATCAATTCGAAACATGTAAGTACCCGCACCCTGCATAAACAACCAAATCAGCATGTCATAAGAGTTGACGAATTAAGGGGAAACCAATAGTAAAAGAAAACTTACCACCAATGAATTGTATATTAGATGTTCTCTCCTATCAGCTATAGGAGGTCGAACAAGTTCACCCGTGTACTCAATCACCTTAAAAGTTGAAATTTAGAAAAATTCATTAGTCCCCGTTTGATGAAATAAATAACTATCAACATTATAGACAGAGGTTACCATGTCTCCCGCCCTGTGCGGATGCTTTGCAAAGATGCCAAATCCATGAATTGCTGACTTGCCTAGAATAGAAGTATTGGCAACAATCAGACATCAAAATGTGACATATCACCTACGTCTCAATGTCAAAGCTCGTCAACAGTAGAAACAAAGCCAGCTAGTGTAGCTATACATAAGACGACTGCTGGTAACATTCAGCATCTAAATTCAAATGACATACCAAATGCCAGTCTCTTTCGAAAGGTTTGCCTCATGTAATTATATTTCTCAGCCATAGAAAGAATGTTGTTTGGAACAGAAAAGTGAGAGGCTCTTAGCCTTTGTAGGGTAGAAGAGAATCGAGTGCCAGCACCACCACTTGAAGGAAGTGAAACCCGCGATGATTCATTCGGACAATAACCACCAACAAGGTAAGGCTGGTTCTCCACAAACAGGCGCTTCAAGGATACAGCAGCAAGGGCATCAGGTTCCTTGCGTCCTCTTCGTCCAGAATGATTGTAAGGCTCTGTCAGGGGAGAAAAAATTTGAGATTTGTCAGCAGTCTGCCACAACTTGCAACGAGAAACAAGCAAACGATGTAAACTATAGTTGGAAAACGGGTCAAGGTTGGTGGATTTATGGGTTGATTAAATGGATTTGTCAATGACATTCTACTGAAAACTTTATGTAGTTTGGCGGTAATTTGGTCATTCGACAGTTCAACGGGCTTTTGGGTAAAATTTTACAAGTGTGATACTAAATTGTATTAGGTACTAAAGGATATGTTTACAGAAACCCATAAAAAAGATTCAATTCACGAGATATGGAAGAGAGTATAGCAGCCAGATTAATAGCAAGTGCGTATACAAACACACACCTGTGCGAGCGCAACCAGATTGATTAGATGATGGAACATAGTCAGAGCAACGATGAGAAACTCGACCAATACGTTCATCCCCAATTTGACGGTCATTAGTTGGCTGTTTATGCCTTTTGCAGAAGGAAATTAAACGAATGCATTGCTCTTCTTCATCATCTTCCATAGAAAGCAGATATAATCTTTCTTCATCCTCTAACTATGAAATGAAAGAGAAAATTCAAAAGGACCTAATTAGTTACCAGCAAAGACAACCAGAACATAGAAATGATTTCTCTGTTCAACAATATAGACACATTTTACCCCCTCGAGAAACTTCATTATCAGTTTACAATGCCACTGTTTCAAAGCCATGTAACAGAAACTCACCTCAACGCAAAGGCCAGCAGCACGTGCACAAAGTGGATGATATGATGCACAGCAATTATAATTTGAACACTGTAATAAAACATTCATCAGAGTCAGCCAACTAAAAGCTGAGAACGGAGAAAAATAAAGAATAAAGGACTTGTACGCTCAAATATATTGGTACATACAGACAACTCTACAACAGAAAAAGGAATATAACCATTCAGGTTAGAAGCTTACCTGAATACAAGCACCATAAGATACACCACAGATACTACATAGAAGTTTCCATCGATCCTGTTCAAGTACAAAATGCTGGTTGAGAAACATGTGACGTATAGTGCCATGATAAGACAATGTGTTGCTAAAAGTCGACACATAGCTACCGCCTCACAAAGTCGGTAAAATGAGCAACTGATAATATACCTTGTTTATTCTATTTAGACCATCAATGGGCTCCATTCTCTTCACATCCGACAAACAAGTTTCTGTCCGTACAAAGCTATGTCAACAAGTCTGATAATTAATTTAATGGCAAACCACCAAAAATGAAGGTTTAAGATCACAGATATAGACCAGGTATCCAAATGGCACAAGCAAGATGAGCCCATCGCCCATCTGTTGTAGGCTTCATGGCACCCCCTGGAAGAAAATTCAACATGCCATTGTTACAGTATATTTTTATGAAAGCAGAACACATTAGTTGAAACATCAGGCAGTATCATACCTATAACAGGACAAAGGCAACAAGGGGGTGGAAACTCGGGAGCTCCAAGACGGCACAAGTTACATAACCACAGTACACCATCGACAGGTTCTAATTCCCCATAGCACCTAGCATGGACCTGAAGAAACACCAATTTATGTTGAGATTCATTCTAATAGAGGCAAAAGTTGCCAGAAAACAAGACTCCTGAGTATGCATATTACCAGGACATTGCCAAAATAACTGCACTAAGAGCTGCAGAATGAAAATAGAAATAATCATATGATTCAAGGTGTCTGATAACCGAATCATGAATAGAAAAGCTCACCATCATTCTACACTTATCACACTGCAAGAAGAGATTGTTTTCATATTCCTGTGACCAAAAAGACAAAGGAAGCTTAAATCACGAAATATTGAACCAACATCAATAGATGAGCAGGAGAAAAATGAGCACAACATCATTCAGGTCCAGTCCTTCAGCATTTTCATCTTTGATGCGTTGGTGAAGCTAACTTGGGATTCACTCCACAAGTTATCATTATATTCACAGAAAATAGGATTCACCTCATCCATATAGCAGACGTTGCACTTATCAAGGTCCTTCCAGTCAACACGAACTGGTCTGTAGCCAGCAGGCAAATCTTGATATCTGTCAGACAGTGACTTGCTAGTCGACATTCCAGATATGAATCTGGATTTCGATATTCCCTGTCAGTAGCAACATGATTGTGTGAGTAACATACACTCTTGCAAGATAGAAGTATACACTAGAACAAGCCCAAGGCCGGTATAGCTCTAAAGATGGGTGGATTGAACTCTTTCAATAGAAGGAATAGATAAATCAAGACAGTAAAATTCGGTCTACTAAATTCAAACATGAAAGCTAATCTATTATGCATATGTAAAGTTAACTGGCAAGGGAAATTTAATATTTACTTTTATAAACTTCTAGTTCTTCTTTTTTTTTAGAAAATGTATTCCTAGTTCTTCGATATAACAACTATGATGTGGAATAGTACGAAAAAGGTCATTTATGGTTGAGGACTAGAAGCTAGTGTCTCTAATGCTTGTCAAATTGGGTTTAAGTGGCTTTCCAACCGCAACAAAAAGTACAGCTGTGCATATAATCTCAAGAAGAATTTTGCAGGCATTGTTACACCTTAGAGTTGATTAATGTGCTCTCCAGGTCCGTGCCATATGGCTGGTCTTTCTCTATTTAGAGTGTGTTATGTCACCAAAAATGCCCTTGAATCCTAGAACCCCAGCTTTTTAGAGCATAATCTCCTCTCTTTTTTGCTGGGATTAATTCTCTATGATGTTTTGATGAAATACTGTTCGTGGGAGATTACCAAAGGAATCAAGTGCAACACACTACGACTGACATTTACAACTTGCATAAGCACAATCAATCCATTAAATAGAATCTAATCATCAGAAAGCCCCAAAACAAAGGAGAGGACATTGAGCAACATCCAGGTTGAATACTTGAGGTTGGCTCATAAAAAAACTTAAAAGTGAAATGAAAGATCCAGAAATAATTGTAATGTCCAGCAAATAAAAGTGAAATGCACAGAGTGGCATACCTTTATGAGTTTTCTGACTTCAGGGTAGGAGAAACCAAACATGTGAGAACCAGACTGACGGGTCCTTTCTACTTGGCATTCACCATTCGAATCCCCAGGTGCATCGAGTTTCTCAATTCTTTCATAGATTTTATTCCAGCAAGCTGATGGAGACAGACCTTCAATCTACATAGCACGGTCAAGTCAATTAACATGGATAAAAATGAGGGTAACCTATTCCAGCTCAAAATCTACAAAATGGCACCTCAGCAATAATCAGAACTTTCTAGACCGTCATTAGAGGAAACGGTGAAAAAGGCATATCACAAAAGCAGAAACTACGACATCCTTTACTAAACAAGAAATAATATACAGTGGCTGACAGAAATTTAATTCCAGAATGGAAAGCATGGACAGCTAACAATAGGACTTGTATCAGTAGAACCCTAATTAGCTGCTCAGAATGCAGACAGCTGCTAGTCTGTATACCAGATCTCCATGTCAAAAGTGCAAAAAGAAGGGCGGGAGACTCCCATTTCTTTCACTCTCGAACAAGTAGACCAGGAGGACTTGAATAATTGGGTAGGATAATAGTTATCTCGGACCAGATCAAGGCTTGAGGAACAGTATATATGCTCTCTTTATCGAGAATAACAGCTAATTAAAAGCTCAAGCCATGTCTTGCCCAAAGAGCAACTTTAAAAGCTGGGTAATTCACTTGAAGTTACTTAGAGAAATTTTCAAACTCAACAAGTGACACAATATCTACACATAAGATTGTCCCCTTATTCTTCTAGTTCTCCGATGAAACTAACACATACCAAAATGCAAGTGACAAGAAAATCAACAATAAGAGTGATGGACCAGATTTTAGAAAACAGCATCAGCATTAAAAGCTGTGCTTAATGCAACTCACCTGCTCTCCATTGTCAAGTGTCACTCTAAATAGGGGCCTAATCTTTGACTCAGAATCTCTCAGCACTTCCATCTTATAAATGGTGAATGCACTTGGATCTACAACAAAGAAATGAAAAAATAGGCAAAAAATATACCATGTGATGCTAAGCTATAATAGTGAAATTAGTGATACAACCGATGAAACAAGCACAGAAGTTGACCTGCTACCGAAGTGAATTTCCGCAAGGCAGTATATCCCTCAGGCCAGATTGATTTGTCGTCCTGGAAATATTCAGAATCCTTCACAATCTTTCCTGGGGATATAGACAAAGGGTTCATATGAGAAGGTGAGCTTCCTTCAATACCCAGCAAGCAATCAAAGATTTAACAAAAGCTTGCAATTACGTCCATCCCAAGGAAAGTTGGAGGTTTCAAAATTAAATGATCTAAACATGTTCCCCTTTCATGCATGGGTTAGCTATTAAAATCTGCAGCAACTGACAAGCAAAAGTGTGATAATTTACCACGATACCTTGAGAATCAAATATTTGGCATACTCTAGAGTAAGTTAGATTGATGATGACAAATATGGATCAGGGAAATGCACATTGCATTGAGAAAATCCGAAATAATTACCAAGGTTGATGATCTGCAGATCCCCAATAACATATGGAGAAGTTTTTAGGCCCCTCAATATCCTTTGTATCCCTTCATCTGCTATATAATCGTCACCAGAATCTTTACTCTCTTCATCGTCACTGCTTGCATGTCCACAACTATCAGTATTCATACTATTTCGCAGCTGTAACATTCTAGCAGGAAGCTTTTGTTCACTCAAATACCTGTCAAAATAAAATTACCAGTGAACAAAAGTAAAGACGGTTCTTGCTGCCACACCATTGGCGAAGTTTTCACACAATTAGTCATTCCACACTCTTATCGGCTACTAGTAAGTATTTACGGTGAAATTTAATGCAACCTTAGCTGCTACAAACTTATGCATCTAGAAGTTCATTTCAGATAGCAACCAAGGTGAATGATAATTCAGGAAAGGTAAATGTGAACAATAGAAGTCAATTCTCAAGGACTAAAAACTGTCGCCAAACAGGTGAACCTGGATGGGGCATTAGGTTCTACCAAAAGGAGTCACCAATACTAATGAACATTTAACCGATGGAAGAAGGTTGTAGTTCATACCTCCTTTCAAAGTTTTCAGACACCAAAGAGTGTCAGCTAAGAGGTCATCTACCAAATGTTGTTTGCAGTAACCCACACATAAGAGTGATGTCAGAATACTACAATCTAACCGAACACACAATATGAACACTGGGACATTGGCAGTTGATGCACTACAGTCAACACACAAGCTAATATCAGCATTATGGATCTTTCATAGTAGAACAACACCAATTAAGCTTACATTTTTGCTTCTTCCAAGCTACGAGTAAAACGAGGTTGCTTGCACTTCAGATGGAGAGAGGAAAGAAGTCCTTTCAGAAATGAGATAACCTGGTTTGATTTAATTCTGCATGGCAACGAGTTAAAATGCACATCAGTATCATACATTTTTTACCATACAACAAAATCCCGGGCAGACTTAAGAATCGTCTACCTAGCAAAATCATGGGTACCAAAAAATTGCACAGGGACAAATCTTCCGCCCAAGTTTGTCTTTAAACCTCTACTGCTGCCAATAACTGATTCTTCAACAACAATAGCCGGCCAAATAGCATGACCTGCACTACAACAATCAACGGATATAGTCGGTGCAAAACTAAAGACAAAATTTGTACAATAAACTGTATTTACCAAACAAGATATGTAGTACACTTTCCAAAAGAGAATCAGAATTGAGGACAAACAGAATCTGGAAAGCTTAGCATCCAGAAATATGTTATGGAATTATGGTATCATATCAGCTGTCTGCTTTTCCACATAAATTGATACTTGTTTACCACTGCAGTAAGAAAACTACAGTAAAATAACAGGTAAAGGCTCATGACAACAAACTCATTAGCACTAGTTTCTATCTTATAACCATGATATCGTAGGAATTTTTCATTAAGAAACACATCCTGGCTAGTTTCTTTTAGATGATGAAAGAACTTCATTAAATCCTGGCAATATAAGTAAAGAGAGACAACAACAAAAGGATATGCAATGAAACGAATCCTAAATGATGTATGGGATTAATTTAGTGCACACCAGTTAGTTTTGCCCATATGACATCTCCAGGTTCAAGTTCTTGGCAGTCATCCAAACTGGCAGCTAAGACAACCATCTCCTCGTATTCCTGGCTCCCATCACTGGTGCTTCTTGTAATGTAACTCAGTTTCAGTTCCTCCATCTCTTCACGAGATATAAAAAATTTAACCTTTTCTTTCGAAAGCCTTACATACTCATTATCTCCATCCTCATAGTGTATCTGCATATGTTCATTCCAAACAACAAAGAAACTCAGCAGCTGCTATATAATATTCCAGGAGGTCAAAAAGTGAAATGAACTCAAAACCTACTTGATGCTGATTAGTCCCAGAATTGTATCCAATAATACGCCCTGAATACCAGTCAACATCCAAAGGCCAATACACCTGTAGAGTATCATATTAGTCCCACAATCAAATATGCTCAGGAGCCTATTGCCCTATTCTTCGGAACGATTGAATAGAGTAAAACTTGCCTTGCATTGTAGCCCGATGAACGTTTTTGGATCGACGCCATCAATGCCCAACCTGTTAAATCCAAGCATTTGCAGGCAACAGAACGGCATTAAGTTCAGTGAGAAATGCACACGAAAAGATTGCTTCGCGTCCAGGTAGAACATTCAGTTAATAATGTTCCCACAGAAGGAAATTCAAGTACACTACTCTCCTAGGAACAGTAAAACCAAGTGGAAATGAAAAAACACACCTAGCCCATCTTCTGGTACTTGGTGGGATTGACGAAACTTTATCAGAGTTGTGCATGATATCACTTTTCTTCTTCTTCTTCTTCCGAACCTTGTTGGTCCCATTCACTTGATGATTCCGGCAGTCCCTTAATCGCGGGCGGTCCAATCCTTGCAAAACACTGGAATCAACCCCCAATCTAACCAACTCACTGCTCCCAATCCTCCTCTTCTTCGCATTCCTCCCCAAATCACCCACGACCAAATCCTCGAACTCTTCAATTTCCTCCTTCACTTTAACTTCCAGGACCGCCCCCACATCAGTCCTCGCGAGCAACGATTCTACAGATGACTGTTTCTTCTCGACCACGCGGGCCTTCTTATACTTGCGAGAATACACATTTATAATAGGCGGCCGATTGGGAGGCCGATCTTCCTCGTCGGAGCTAAGCTTCCGCGCTTTCACCTTCTTGGACATGACATTCGATCCCCCCGAGCTGACACACAGCGACGCCGCAGTGTAGACCTGGTCCAGCGACACGTAACGCACTGGTGCGTCGGTCTGGTTATCCAAGTTGATGTCCCCGTCGTCTTCAACGATCGGCCTCAGTACCTTCTCATCGCTCGGTTCTTCGACCAGTGCCATGGACTGAAAGATAACCGGATAAAATGCCTGCTGCGATGAGGTTGAGAGAGAGAGAGAGAGTACGAAATTGGCCGGAGCGAGCTTCTGCTCTGCTCTCCCGCTCCGCTTGTAACAGTCCAATTGCGGCTCCGTGTGTTCCGGCGATCGGGAATCCCTGGAATTCGGGTGAATTGCGGGGAGTATGGGATGCAGAAAGGAAGCAAGAGGAGGTTAGGGTTTAAGGTGGGTGGAAAAAAAGTGACGGAGAAAGGGGGGAAGTTGGACAAATTGGATCGTTTTTTGGAGGGAGGGATTTTTTCCCCCAAATTTATCAGTTTCCCGCCGGGTGTTAACAATGGCGGATACACGCACGAGTGGAGTTTCGCCACGTGTACGTGCCAAACAAATCCCAGGTGCTAAAGACGAGGTTTCTCAACTTCTCAAGTCCAAACTTATCTCATTCAGTTCCTGCGTCCTAACGTTGTTTATTGGTGATTGTGAATGCTCATGTTGTCATTTCCAAGGTCTATACGAAGGATTTGTAACATGTTTTGGGTGGCATCATTTTAAGAGAAGTACAAAATCTACACACTATACGTTCAATGTTGTATTTCCGAGTCACATGAATATAACAGGGTAGTCAATGTCGCAACGAAATAAGTTTGTTTGTCGACGATTAGATATTGTCAACCAACAATCATTTCCTTTGTCGCTTTTGTTAGTTGGACTTGCAAAGGTCTTTAATCTTTGTATCTGGTTACTACTGGTTCGGGATATCTGTGGTGAAAAACTACATGACAAGGGTAGTTTGATTTTTGTGATTGTTAGAGTTGTTACCTTAATACTCGTACTTGTATGCACTACCCGCAGGTCAGGTCGAATAATATTTACACGAATACAGGACAGGTCGATCCGCTTTTTATATGTTATTTGAAAAAAAATATTGTTCTTTACCTCATTTTCAATAACACATAGAAACACTCTATAAATGAATGGGAAATATAATAGAAGGAATGATCGAGTATAAATAATTGAAAGATAGTGTCTTAAAATTTATTTGAAATGTCAAAATAGGAGAAATACATGTAGATATTGAACGGGGAGAGGAAAGTCGAACCAATATCCATGCCCCGCCCACTACTGTTGGTCGGGTGATGATCGCCCTAAACAAGTTAGGACAGGTCATATTGCATGGCCATATAAGAAATTCTCATCACTACATAAGAGGACCCTCAAACAAGTGTGGTTAGTCATGCGACATTTTCGCAAAATGCGCCCAATAAAAAAAACTCGTATAATTATTCGCAATTAACCATACAAATAATCACGCAAAAAACCAATCCCATATACCGCAAATGCTTGTAGGTTTTAGTTAATTTGTGTAACCAAAAACAACTGTTAAATCATACTACGCAGTTAATTGACACCGTCAATAATACAATGTGTTATTACGGCTATACATTCAAAATGATTATTCATAACCATCCAAAGCAGTCATGGTTAACCATAAACTACATCATATCTTACTAGACCAACCCCCACTCATTGAGATTCGGTACGAGTCAACTAGAGTAAAAATAAAATCAGTTAATAATTGGGTAAATACTAATTATTAGCCATATATTTTTTCGCATTCTTTTTTATTAGTCAAATTTATTGAATTACTAATAATTAGTCAAATCTTCTGTAATGCTTATGCAACAAGATATTAGCTACTTTCATTACAGTTAATAATTTTGTAATTTTTTTCTAGTTAAAATACTAAAATTTTGGAATGTTCACGAACAAAAAGAAAGTTTTGAATAATGATTAATGGTTAGTATTTACCCTAAATATTTCTACTATTTCCCCATTAATAACTTTTAATTATTAACTATGTTATCGTCTGTTTTCCCCAGGTAATTGAGTCTTTTGATTGCTAAAAGCTTTGTTTAGTTCAACAACCGTAAACCCTAGTGATTTATATACATTCCTCCCCGCTAGCTGTCTCTCTCCGCAACTCTCTCCGTTCCCAGTCTTCCGCAGTCGCCAGCCTTACTTACTCCCGCCTCCCCATTGCCACCACCCGCTAGGGTTTAGAATTGGCGATCGCCGCGGGAATTCCGATTGCTCAGCATCGGAATTCAGCTTTCCCCGACCATGGATCTCCCGAGCCTCGCCGCCGTCCTCCAAGCTGCTCTCAGTCCCAACCAGGACCAGCGGAAGGCTGCCGAGCAGAGTCTCAATCAGGTTCTCTCTTCTCTTCTCAGTTTTCTTTTCCCGTTTGGCGCTGCTGATTTGCTCATTGAGTTTTCCTGCTAGCTAGCTAGCTACTGGTGTATTTGTTCATGAGCACACGACTGTTGCATTCAATTCAGCTGATTGGCAAATTATCGTTTTGTCGGTGTAACTGCTTGGTCGGTTGAGTTTGTGTCTGTAGAGATGGTTGAATTCCTAAACGATGTGGATTTTTTTTGTTTGTCTACTTATGAGCTAGTGAAGGAGTGGTTGTTTGCTTATGGTTGTACGTATGCCAATATTTTTTTGTTTGTTTGGTTGCAGATACAGTTCACTCCTCAGCACCTGGTAAGGGTGTTGCAGATCATCGTGGATAATAGTTGTGACACGGCGGTGCGGCAATTCGCTAGTATCCATTTCAAGAACTTCATTGCTAAGAACTGGGCTCCTTACGACACTGGTACTTTTCTTCATTTTGCAGTGATGGTGTGGTATATCTATTCTGCTAGGCGGTGTGAGTCGAAGTATCCCGTGTCATTTATGGTAGACTTATGTTGTTTTGTTTTATTAATTGATTCAGATGAGCCTTCGAAGATTGCTCCGAGTGATAAAGATGTAGTCAGAGATCACATCCTCGTTTTCATTGCGCAAGTTCCCCCAATTTTGAGGTACAGTAATTGCTTTACAATGTTTGCACTTGTTGCTTATTCCCTTTAGATTAATGACCCGTCTAATTGTGTTACATTGCTACTTAGTAGTATCTGCTCCTTTTTTGGATGGTTTGTCCACTCTGTTCCTGAAGTTGGCGGATTATCTTAATCAAGTGATATATTGGACGAGCAATAAACTAATTAATATTAGTGTTGCTCTAATATAAGATGCTTATAATTTGCAGAGTACAACTAGGTGAGTGCCTGAAGACAATCATCCATGCCGATTACCCAGAGCAGTGGCCACGCTTGCTGGAATGGATAAAGCATAATCTTCAGGATCAACAAGTTTATGGGTCTTTGTTTGTTTTAAGGATTCTTTCGAGAAAATATGAGTAAGTAATTGTTGGTGATTCATTTATAGAGTAAATGAGATTGCATGGAGATTCGTTTTTTTTAATATTCGGATACTTCTCTGCTGTAGGCTTCTTAAGATTCTGAATAATGAGCTCTTGGTTTGAGTATGGCCATTTTGTTTCCATTATTGATGAACATGCATGAACCGGTAGGATTTATTCTTGTATACAATTCAAAGAGATCAGGAATAAATATAGTGTCAATCCACTTTCATTTTTTTTATAAGGCTGATATAAGTTTGTTTTAATAGTTTGGTGTTACTTAAGGGATTTGAACATGAGACCTACAGGCTCGAGATCAGTGGTGGTAATACCACTGGACCAAGCCCCCTTCCCGCTTGACGAACTATGCTGTAACTTAGGGGAGAGAACTCTCTGTCGCCTTTGTTAATTTATTATTGTTTCTTGACTCGAATGCTTTCAAGAATGTGTTAGGCTTGAATGGCAAGTTATTCTTTCTTGGCGTAGTTTGCTGGTTCTAATTCCTCCTGATTACACTTCCCCTGATCTCTTTCTGCTCAGGTTCAAGTCAGACGAAGAAAGGATTCCTGTTAATCGAATAGTTGACGAGACATTTCAACACCTTCTCAACATTTTTACTAGGCTCGTGCAGATTGAGAATCCATCACTAGAAGTGGCGGAGCTAATCAAGCTTATCTGTAAAATATTCTGGTCATCGATATATGTGAGTTTTCTCCTGAAATATTGGGAGTCGTGTTTATGTTAATTATTGTTTGAGGAGATGCTTTGATGCAAATGCTTTTGATACAGTTTGATACTTCCATATACATTGGGATAGAGTTTAGTAGGTTGCTTTACATTCACGAGGTCTCTTATATCCTACTAAATTTTCTTTTCAAGTAGCTATGCCTTGGGATCATGCACTTTATATGAAGTTTCATTTTGTTTTACATAAAAAAATGATAAATGCTTGGTTCTGTTGAATATGGATGCAAAGTTTAAATTTGATGCAAGAATACAAGCATATTTTTAGAGTAGATTAGACCTTTTTCCTCAGATTAAAAAGTCTTGTCTAAGTTGGGTTCACATTTGTTTTTGAGTCGTTGATATCAACAATATATTGCTTATTGTACCTGTCTGGCCTTCATCATTCCTTTCTTCACAGTTGGAGATCCCAAAACAGCTCTTTGATCCGAATGTCTTCAACGCTTGGATGCTTCTTTTCTTAAACGTTTTGGAGAGGCCTGTTCCAGTAGAGGGGCAGCCAATGGACCCAGAGATTAGGAAGTCATGGGGATGGTGGAAAGTGAAAAAGTGGACAGTCCATATCCTAAACCGGTTGTATACGAGGTCTGTAGTTAATGATTTTTCAGTGCTACTTAGTTGGGACTGGCCCCTTTTCCCTGAATGATTGTGTGTATTGACAATTTAACAGGTTTGGAGACCTCAAAATACAGAACCCAGAGACAAAAGGTTTTGCTCAATTGTTTCAGAAGAATTATGCGGGGAAGATTTTGGAGTGCCATTTGAATTTGTTGAATGTGATCCGTGTTGGTGGGTATCTACCCGATAGAGTTACCAATCTGATTCTTCAGTATCTGAGCAACAGGTCATTGATCTTACCTCATACTTCATCTACATATCAATCAGTTCAAGTTATCTTCAGTTTTATTAGCCTTAGTATTAGCTCTTCGATAGGTGTCTATGGTTCATGTTAATAGCTTATATTTGTACTCTTTAAGCAATATATTTGCCAACTGGACTGCATGGTTTTAATGGTGCTCTGTTTTCGTGAACAAAAATGGGTAAGGACTACAAGATTTTACTTGGCTTGATACTGGTTGGTTAGTAAGATTGAAATTACTTCAAAGCATTGATGCTCCACTATGGATTTTCAAGTTCTTTTTCCGGATAATTATCAATAAACTCTGTTGTTATGGATTTATTGAAGCATCCAAGTTCTATGGCTTTTAAGTGGCGAGTAGTGTCCATTAGCCCCTGTTTCTCTCTTCTGCTTTTGTTAATTTTAAAAAGATCTCAAGCTTTTTAACGAATGGAGAAAATAGGATATTGTGCTAATAATGAATTTTATTCACTGCAGC